TGCAGGGCAGGGAGGAGCTGGAAATGGAGCAACTGGAAATGGAGAAGGAGCAGGACATCAAGGAGAAGCACCTGATGCGCAAGCTCGCCTCGGAGCAGGAACAATTGATGCAGCTGGATCAGTCGGACTATTTATTCGTGGACCTGGAGCAGGAGTCGCAGCAGCAGCAGCAGCTAATCAAACGAAAGCAGGATCACTATGACAGCATGGAACTGAAGGAGCAGCTCAAGTTGCGGGTAAGGGACCAAAAGGCAAAGCAAAAGGCTCCACACGTTGGCTCCCGCCCAAGCGAAGATCAGGCAAACGTTGACGATGGGAGTGAGAGTGACAAGGATGAGGACAGGGATGAGGATGAGGATGAGACTGCTGAGGTGAGTAAAGATGACGACGCGGTGACACTGCCCCTGGTGACGCCGTACACCTACGTTAACGAGAGCCCCAGCGACTACCGACCGGGAGGCTACCATCCGGTAAAGGCGGGTGACTCGTTCCAGCAGCGCTACTTCGCCATCAGCAAGCTGGGCTGGGGCCACTACTCGACGGTGTGGCTCTGCTTCGACACGGTGCGGAGCTGCTACTGCGCCATCAAGCTGGTCAAGTCGGCGGAGCTGTACGCGGAGTCGGCGCGCCACGAGATTCGGCTGCTGCGGCACATCTCGGAGCTCGACGATCACCCGCTGCGCGACCGCCTGGTCAACATGACGGACAGCTTCAGCACCAGCGGCGTCAATGGGACGCACCAGTGCCTGGTCTTCGACGTGCTGGGCGACAACATGCTGATGCTGATCCAGCGCAGCTGCTACCAGGGACTGCCGCTATACAACGTCAAGCAGATCGCCTACCAGGTGCTGCAGGGGCTCTACCTGATGCACGACCAGGGCCACCTCATCCACACCGACCTCAAGCCGGAGAACGTACTGCTCGTGGCCGACGAGCTGTCGCTGCGCCGCCAGGCCACGGCGGCGTCCAAGAAGTACCTGGACACACACCAGCGGCAGCTGAGCCAGGCCGACGCCAAGCTGAGCAAGACGGCCAAGCGCCGGCTGCGCACCAAGACCAAGCTGAGCATCAGCTTCTTCCAGGCCCATCGCAAGTGGCTGCGCAAGCGCGGCATTGACGACCTGCTCCTGCTGGCCAAGCACGGCCTGCTGACGACCAAAATGGCCCTGGACGCCGTCACAAACCAGCTGCCCTACCTAGCCTACGACGGACCCGCCATATTCTCTGCGGCAGAGGTGCGCCAGCTGCGGCTCGGCCAGGAGCAGTCGAGCGCCGAGCAGGTGGGCGACAGCCAAACGTCGAGTCGGGCCAGGAGGCGCCGCTCGAAAATGGCCGAATCCGAGGGCGTCCACAGCTCCGGCTCCGCCTCCTCCTCGAAGGCGGTCAAGCTGCTCCAGAGCAGCACCGAGAACTTCATGCGCTACGTCCAGAAGTGCATTGAGAACGACGAGAAGGACGAGCAGGAGAGGAGCAGCGAATCGCATCATCTGCACAGCAAGCGCATGAAGACCAAGAAAGGCGCCAAGAAGGCAGCGGCTCAGCGCCAAGCCGACCTGCCCGACACCACCTCGAGCAGCGGCAAGCTTAACATGGGCATGATCGAGCGCAAGGACCCCGCCTTGCAGCCCTGCCCATTGAGGGTGGTCATCGCCGACGTGGGCAACGCCTGCTTCGTGGAACAGCATGTCACCGAGGACATACAGACGCGCGAGTACCGCGCCGTCGAGGTCATACTGGGCGCTGGCTACGACACCTCGGCCGATCTCTGGAGCGCCGCCTGTCTCTTCTGGGAGCTGGCCACGGGCGAGTACCTCTTCGAGCCGAACAAGTGGCGCGGCGACGCCAGCCCGGACGAGGTGCACATCGCTAACATAATTGAGACATGCGGCCCCATACCCAAGGAGCTGATAGCCCGTGGCGAGTACTCGCCTGAAATCTTCAACTCCAAGGGGGAGCTCTTGAATATTAAGAAATTGGTGCCGCATCCTTTGCATCAGGTCCTGATGGAGCGGTACAACTGGTCGCCGCGCGATGCTCGCGAATTCGCCGACTTTCTGAAGCCGATGCTCTGCACAAATCCCCATCGCCGCACCACGGCCTTTTCGGCCATCAATCATCCCTGGCTGTTGCTCAACGATGAGGACGATGAGGACGCGGAGGACGAGGAGGAAGAGGAGGACCCAAACGAGAGCCACGCATAGTGCAAAGCAAGGGAGGGTGGGCCAGAGGCAAACATATGTACATTCGTTTCGAAATTAATTTAAAGCCAAATTCAAATTTGAACGAGTATAGGGTATATATAGATGTTTATTTATTTTTTTTTTTACTTTAAAAATCAATAATGTTAGTTTGAGTCATAAATTTGAGTGCTCTTAGTAATTAGGTTGATATCTAATTTCTAACTAATTGCATATTTCTGTTCATACGCAAACAAGCCAGCAACTTGCAATACACAATATAATTACATATGTATTCATTTGTTAGCTTCGAATTTGAATAATAAACCAGAAATGCGCGTCTACGATATGTGAAATCGACTAAGCCTATCGTTATCGATATTGCTGTGCTGCATTGCACGATCAGGGTGACCAAATTTATCATAAAACATAGAAGAGAGATTGAATTGCATTTACTGCACTGCATAATCTGGGCATATTCTGAAATTATAATATAGAGTCACACGCTGCAACTAATTTTTAGAGCGCCTAATCTTAATTAATTAATTTTTACACATATTACATGCGCAGGTGGAAAAGTTTGGGCTTGCTGGTATAATTGCTCTTTATTGGTCAGTATTTTTCACGTAATAAAGTATTTTTAATGCTCAAGAGTGTGGTCACACTGCGTGTAAAGCTGTGAACTTTGTAACGCTAAATTAGGCGCGAAATGTAAGTGTAAATAAATAAAACATTTAGAATACGAATTCACCAGACAGCTATAATACACGCTACGATATAAAAACTTAACAAAAAGTCCGTGAATGAATAACTCGTTCTGCGTCTTTGTGTGCATTACATAAACCCACTTATTTTGATAACGCTCACTAAACAACAGAGCAGACAGCTAATACGAAAATATTTACCGACATGCACACGCACACACACATTCGCAGTCATTGTCATTCAAGGTTGGATTACAACAGGCAGACGGGGCTATGCGCCAAATTTGAACGGAACGACAGACGGGTCTCGATTGGCTGTTGCGCTTATCACATCAGCTAATACAGATAATGTTCTATGAGTGGGAAATATAAAAGGAATAATAATATTTACAATTGATTAAAATGGCCTATGTATGTGTGTGTGTGTGACCTTGCAGCTGATATAAGGCTTTTTGTCAGTAATTAATTCTGGTCTCTATAGAGACTGAGCCGGGCTTTAAGGCAGGTACGCTGCTACACGTTCAAAAAGAATATTTAAATGATGTGATGTTTGCTTCTACCAAATTTTCTACAACAAAAAAATACTCTGCTACGTTTTGTCATATTTTTCATGTTTTCTAAATTTATTTGTAGATAGCTAGCTGCTCGAATTGTTTTGCATATGCAACGGCCAAGCGCAGTACTGCGCTTTATCGCAACTTGGTCACATTGTTATTAAATGTCGTTAGTCATATTGCTAAGCCGCAGCAATTCTTTATCGAGCGCGTTAAGTAGATGGCGCAAATTAGTCGTTTCGGCAGGAGCAATTACAGCAGCAACAGTAGCCCACGGATATCACAGCAACCGAAGTCGTGGCTTGCCACAGGTGTATAAGCGTTCATATCAGGGGTAAGTGCATACCTAGCTCATAAATGTAGCAATATACATGTGTAGCAGGTGAAATTAATATGTATTAAATACTGACAGATTCCGAACAATGGATACACCGCCGGATGTATTTCAAGGGGTGAAGGACCGCTTCTTTGGTGTAACGGTCGATGGCAACCAACAGGACATTGCTGATAAAGCACAATTTTGCGAAAAGCTGCACAGTAAATTCTATGAAACAAATATTCTTCATTCACATTATAAATACACTATTTGTAGAATCTTTGGACTTTTGGCGACAAAACAAAAATCGCACAATTTGGTTTCGCGTTTACAAGAAGCAGGCCGATTGGGTGCCCATTTTGGCTGAGGCAGGCTTCGATTTTCACCACGCCCGCTCAGGTGTCGTCACCATGTACCTGTGGCTACCCAAGGACGAGCCCAGCAACTTGCCCAGCTATGCACATACATTGCTTGGCGTTGGTGGGTTGGTGATAAACGAAAATAACGAAGTGCTGGTCGTTTCCGATAGGCATGCGATAGCAAAGGACATATGGAAGTTGCCTGGCGGCTATGTGGAGCCGAATGAAAATCTGGTTGACTCCGCTGTGCGTGAAGTCATGGAAGAGACGGGTATACGGACCACATTCCGCTCGATGGTTTGCCTGCGACACTCGCATGGCGGCAATTTTGGATGTTCCGATATTTATGTGATCATTGCCCTGAATCCGCTGAATCTGGAAACCACGCCATGCGAGCGGGAGATCGCGCGTGTCAAGTGGATGCCGCTGGATGAGTACTTTTGCCATCCTCAAGTGCTAGAGGCCAATCGATTGTTCGTGCGTACCTATTTGGATTACCAAAAGCGAGGCCTCGACTTTACCTGCTCTAGCATGGTGCATAGCCTGCTCAAAAAGGAATATAAATTGTATTATGTTGCTCCAGAAAACGATAGTAACGAGGAAGTGCCAAAACTGTAGTGCTATAATTTTAAATTGTGTGTTTTTTTTTTATTTGTACATAGTTAAATGTATAGCAAAAATGTAAACACATTTAGAATTTGAATTCGCTAAACATCGGACTATCGCTTGTGCAGCTAATCGATACATGTGTATGTGTAATGGCAGTGGTAATGGGCCAAAGGACATTTGGCTTATCGCTGCGTCGATACATCGGTAACGGTTTGCCTCCTAGTAGTCAATTGAAGTGTGTGAAAAAGAAAAGTTAAAGCCATTCATCAATAACGTTTTTTATCTTATTTATACTGGTCGTTAATTTACAATAAAATTAGAGATAACTATAAATTTGTTTCTTGCCTTGGGTGGTGATCAGAGGCTTGTTAGTTCTGAGAGTGGCCATATGCGGCAAACGACTCGGCTACGTATTAGACCGAGTGGTATGGGCCCATAGTAGCGCGAATCCGAGCTATTACTTTTATTATCGCCTTCGATCCAAACACAACCATGAGGCACATAATCGGTGACCATCTTAACTTCAGTTGGCTGCCTTGGCGCCGTTTCGGCCTCTATTGGAGTGGGCTTAAGGGTAGTTATCTTTTCACCAGACACGGCCACAATTCTCTTGCATATATATTGGCTAGCATTAACAGGCGAGACTGCAATTATAATATCGCCAGATTGATACTTGCGCCAATATTTTGACAAACGTTCCGTTAGGAGTACATTATCGGAAAACAGCGTTGGCTCCATCGAAGGACCTTTGCACTACAACACAATCATTCGTTGATACATATGTATGTAAATATGTACATAACATTAGGGATAGATCATTATTAACTTACAAGAACGAAGTCCCCTACATACTCGAACGTACAATGAGTTATACAAGCGTATGCGATTGTGTAGCGTGCCAGGGTTCGCAAACGCGAGAGTACTGTGTAGCCCATGCCCATCTTCATGACGGCTCCGCTGCGCCGCGGTCTCTCTTAGTTAATGTGAAATTGTATCAGCTGAGTTGCCGGTGCACCAAAACATATTTAAAATAAATAAATAAATAAATATATTTTAGGGTTTTGTGTAACAAATAAAAAATAGCAACAAATTCTGGTTGGCTGCTTGCATTACCAGGGCTACACAGCACTGTTCGCCAGCTGTGCCGTGCTCGAACTCTATCGATAGTTCCTACCAGGGCTGCACCGCTTATGTACCTGCTGGCTGCCGCTCTTCCTCCCACTAGGCGTCTAAATTCAAAAATATATACACATTCACAATATCGTACGAGTTGAAGCAATAAATGGAAACTCTAAATTTTGCACACACACACAAAACAATAAAAATTCTATTTATTAATCATGTTCAACCACTGACAATCTATTTCAACTACTGTTTTTTTTTTTTAATTTAATTTTTTTGTTTCCATTTGTTCTTGTCAAAAATTTTGACTAATAACGCAAAGAACTTCTACGGATAGTTTATGTAAATATATATCTACATATATATATGTATATATGACCAGGTCTCGGTTTGTATTGCACATTACACATTATATAGTTAAATACATACAGACTATGATCAAGAGAATTCATTCTTAAAATGGATGACATCGAATTCCAATCATTTACAATATAGGATATAAATACATATATATACATATATATTTATATGCTTTATATCATTAAATTAAACTTAGGCAAATAAATACATATATATAAAAAAAATATAATTCTTGAATCACCACAATAATTAAAAATGTAAGTATATATGTATATTAAAATAAATATTAGTAAATATTAAAAAAACAAAAAAAAATAAAAATAAAAGTCAAATAAAATTTATCTAGAAATAATTAGTGTTTGTTTATGTTTTGTTTAGTTATTTGGAATCAAAAGCTGTTGCTTAGTACTTTTAAATTGTTTTCTCTTTCGCTGTTTCATTCTTTAGCTTTCTTTGGCTGTTTCCCTTTTTGGTTTTTACTCCAGTTTTTTGCCAGAGTTTTGGATCTCCGGACTGTGACGTTTCTCTTGGCGCTCGCGAACATCCACAGCTGCCAAATCGATGCCAGCTACGTAGGCGTGCATCACAGAGATCAGAGCCTTCAATATAGCGAAGGGACCCGTGAGGAAGGCCAAAATCTTAAACAACGAAGCGCCTAATACTGATGAGAAAAAAAAAAAATGCATGAAAAATCGACAAGAAATGGGTTATATAGTTATATAGTTACTCAAAGGTCCACTAGTAAAATGCAATAGATAGAGGCAGACGTAGAACAGCTCATTCACGCAGCACATAAAGGTGAGCACATCCTTCTGATAGTAGATGCGCATCACAAAGTTGTCGTTCACCTTGTGCGAGACGCGTCCGACGACAACGCTCCTGAAATGCCAATGTCATATTATAATTTATTTCATTTATTTATTTATTCATTTACGTTTGCATATAGAGCCAGTGACAGGCCACATCGATGGCGATCGACAGTTGGAACCAGAACATATACTCCGGATAGAAATTGGCCAGGGTAACAAGCAAGCCCATTGTACCGCATCGATCCGTCAACTGATCCAGCATAGCGCCGAAGCGGGTGCCTGAAAAGAGCAGATAATTAACCAACGCCTTAGATGAGACTGAGGTAGTGGCAGCTCAGTACGTTGCCTGACTAGGAATTTAGATTTATTTTACTTAAATAGTTCTTGGGAAATACTTCTAAAATGCAGGAGGAATTCGAAATACAATTTGTATATACATACATATTTGCTATATATATACCGCTATCTTAAGTTATACTAATTAAAATGTGGCACTATCTGATATCAATTTGGTACTCTTATGCGGATAAATTGCACAAACAACAACTGGATATGAGTCATATATTCTTTTCGTCCCCTTGATTATTGAGGAAGAGACGAAAGAGATATTGAATATGCTTTGAGGAACTTACTCTGATTCAAGGCCCGAGCGGCATGTCCATCAACGGCGTCCAGTAGTGCACTAATTATATAACACCAACCGGCGACCACATAGTTCGTGGACATGAACCAAAATGCAATAATGGCCAAAACGATGCGTCCATAACCTGTAAGAGACAATTTAAGGCAAAACAATGCGAATTACATACACGCCCGCACACACGCACGCACGCACGCCCATACGCAAACAAACAACTGCAATTCAATTTCCAATCGATAATGGGTCGGTGCGCATGTAGATGGCGCTGTAGGTGACGTTGCTGATTAGCCAAGAGGTTGGAAAGGGACAGGAGGGGGCGGTTAGTGTGTTGCATTTCACAGGCTGCAGCGCCACCAACGCTTGCTAATTGAATTAAGCCAACAATAACAAATCTATGCATACATACTTGTTATTGTCTGTTATCTATACACACTCACACACACACACTCATGCACAGATCGGCGCCCAATGCGTCGCATAGTGGGCGCGTAACCAAAATAATTAATACAAAAAAGCAAATTAAAAAATCACTCCAAGAACAGCAAAGTTGTATGCTTCATGATGCATTGTTTACAGTTTGGCCAAACATATGCAGCTCAGCTACAATGGACAGCTCTTTAATTCAATAATTTGTCTGTTTGTAAAATAAAATTTTTATTTCGCTCACGGATAATTGGTTGCGGCCCATTATATGCGTCACATTTGTTTACTAAACGGCAACTTACCAATCAGATTTGGTACGAATATAAAAATGTTATCGTGCTCGGCAATGGCCATTGTAGAGACCGTTTAGTCAATATTATTGATAAAACGTTTTATCAAATATATATGCTTTAATTAAATGCGTCGCGGCGCGGTAACGTGGCTTGCGCTACAATATTTTTCTACGTTCTGTTCTACGACTGTGCAAAAAATGGCGCTGTATGCATGGGCGCAATCAGCTGTCGATACAGTGCTGGCTAATGCTAAACAGAAATGGCACAGAGAAATGAACAGGTAACACCGCCTAATGCACTAATTGTATCTTGCGATGCTTGCGACAGCATTCACGTATGGATTGTGAACAAACATTGGATTCCAAAATATACTCATAAAGCGACTGCGTGATTATTAATAAATACGATTGGTAGGCATATCAAACGAAATAATCAACCAGATGTGACGTCACACACGTGTAACAAAATTCAACCTGTGTTTGATTTCCATTCTGCAGAATTTATCAACGCTTGCTATGTACCATTGTACAGCACCTGCAGGGCTGTTACTATTTTTTGTTTTTCTTTTGACAAGTTCATTTTATACAAGGAACAAAATAGAATGTCTAAGCACTTGAATAGAAACTAAAAATCATGGAGAAACTACGAAACAATAACACTGCCAGCGCACAGCCGGCTGAGCAACAACACCATCATCATCATCACCACCATCATCATAAACAGCAACAGCAACAGCTCGACCAATACCCAAAGAATCCAGTTGAACAATATCTTCGCGCCTCAACAAAGATAAAGAAAATCGAACGTGTTGTATTCTTCAAGTAAGTGAAACGATGTGAATTCATATGCACACTTTATAGCGAATAATATGAATTTCATCATTTTTACAGGCGCTTTGCTCCAAACGTGGCCGATGTCCAGGCAGACTTCCAGCGGCTGGCCTACAACTTCGAGGATTCGGGTATCATGCAATATGCGGCTATGTGTCATATTGGCTATGCCAAGTGTGAGTCATACGGCGGATCACCGCAGCGCGAGGCTGAGGCATATCTACGTGCTGCACGTGACTTTCTCTTAGCACACAACGAATTCCGACAACTGCACCTGCGAAGCGGCCACAATGGTTTCCGCGAGGGCGCGCTCCATTGCTACAATAAGGCAGCCGAGCATGTGGCCGACAGTGGAGTCTTCAAAGCAGCAGTGCTGCGCGAGCTAAAGCATCTCAAACGCAAATTGGAACGTACAAGCAGCTTCGCCTCGCCTACTCATCAGATCAACGATCTGGAGATTAGCGCCGAGATGAGTATGCAGCGCGAGGACTACCGCGGCGCTTTGCTTCACTTGGATGACATTGTGGACAACATCTATGAGCGGCGCAAGGCCTCAATGTACGGCGAATTGCTGCGTCGCGTCGAAGTGCTGCGTCTTCTATTGCTAATCCATCTCAACTTGCCGCCGGCACGCCAATCACCCGCACACATTAAACTGATTGAATACTATTACACGCTCGCCCAGTATGAGACGCCGTCGCAGCTGATTCACGCCGCCAATCAGCCGACCGAGCGTGCAGGCACCTCGGTGCCCATACAGCAGCAGTATGGCCTGGCGGAGATCGTTTGCGCCTGGGTCGAGCGAAACATGTGTGATCTCAAGCATCTACTGCGTGACTTTGGCGCCGAAAACATTTCGATCAGTCAGCAGGAGCGCCAGCTCCTCAAGACTATTTATTCCGAGCTGTCAAAGATCTACTAGACCCACAGTCCGTTTGCATATTTACATTTTTCCAACATTCCTTAGTTTTTCATCTCCTTTCTCTTTCTGCCAGCACAAGGGCAAAAACTGCGACAGCTGGTGCATTTATCTCTTCCGTATTATCAGCTGTTCGATCTTAGGTGCACATCGCATTCTACTATTCTTCATTTTTCCAGTTCCTCTTAGCTGTTCCAGAACTACTTTACTAGTTCGACTTATTGAGGATCAGCGAGGACAGCCAGATGTATCAGACAATAGATTTTCAGTTTCGAATTGTTGAAGATCGTTTGTGTTTGAGCAGCCTCCCCTCACACCACAACACATCTCACCTTATCTCACTTCATCTTTTATTACCCATACCTCTCACTATCAATTAACTCCGACGTTTAACGCCTGGAGCGAAAGGAAGCACACAAATACAAACTTGTAACATACGAAACGAACAGAAAATTACAAGAGTAAATTTGTAGTATATATGCATGTGTATGCATATATACGAATGTGTATATAGAGCTATTTAAAAATATGTATATGTATATTAATATAAATATACAATAAATATAGTATGCAATATCGCGAGTCTACCAATTAAACTTGTCAACGTGCCTACACGAAGAAAGCAAACGTGTAAACGATATTAGCTTCTAGTAGTAATGTAATAAATCAATTGTAATATTTATAAAAACAAACAACTATGTATACAACTCTCAAGTACAATAAAACGAAAGAATATGTATGTATATTATAAGTATGAATGCATATTATAACTCGAGCTCTTATTTCATTCATTCAAGGCCGCTGAAAAGTTTAGCGCCATTCATGGCGCATTTTATACGAGTTTACATATTTTTCGAAGGATAGAGTTACATACATACGCCATTCAACTCTGCAATGCGATGAGCTATCGGAAAAAAGTTAAGCCTTTTGTTAGGTATAGTGAGCAGTAAAAATGCATAAGAAATTCCAGATGTATTGCTTTTCTAGTTCTCGAGATCGCTGCGCTCAAATGGAGGGACGAACTCAGTTGAGAGTTGTATTAGTGTCTGTTTTCATTCGAATAAATTAACAAACAAAAAAAAACACACACACCTTATTGCTTTATCTATTTGTTCCATGTTTTGTTTTTATTGAATTTAAATTTGTTAGTTGACTTAATTTTTCTGTTTCGCATTGTATTGTATATATGTTTGTTGTATATCAATTTGCTTTCATTGAACAATTTAGTAAGTTACCTTTTCATTTAATAGTTATGTAGTTATTTTTCATTTTTATTTACTCCAGTAAAAACGCTTCGTTTTATTTTCGTATATATAAAAAAAAACATTTACTGCATTTTAATTCTCTAGCAATTTCCAATCGTTTATAAACTATCAAAAAAGTTTGATATATATATATGTATATATACTTATTTTTAAATTTAACTTTTGATTTTGGGAAGGGCAGCGGGCAGTAGCAATTTTATTTTATTGTTTAACTGGTCTTGCAATTTGTTCATAATTATCCAATACATGCACATGATATATATGTATATACATGTGCTTATACATAGATATATATGTATATTTAAATATTGTTTACTATATGTTCTTTATTTCTATTTAGTTTAAGCGCTTCAAACAATTTGAAACCTAGCAAAGAAATCGTTTTCAAAATACAAAATAATATATAAATAAAAAAAAAATAAACACTTAAGCCACAGCTTGTTGTGCACAACATGCCAGAGTGTGGGTGTGTATGTATGTATGTATGTGTGTTTGTGTGTGTGTGTGGCTTAAGATTAAGATCACAAGCATTTGTTGTTGTTTCTATGTTTGTTTTTACTTTCCTTTTGACTCACATTTTATTTAAATTTAAATTGACACAAAAAAACGGAAAAAATTCACCTATAAATTTTTAAGTGTATTGTGTGTGTGTGTGTGTATTGAATGTGTAAACTCAAAAACTAATTTCGCACACAAATTGGGAGATAAAGAGCGAGAGGTGCAGCTGCTGCGAGAGCGAGAACAACGTTTTTCCAGAAGAGAGTTTTCAAGCTGTATTTCAGAGTATACGAGTGTGTGTGTGTTTGTGTGTTGTATGCATATATATATAGATATATGTGCGTGTGTGGGTGTTTCTGTAGCTAACTATTTATTGGCGGCCTTGGCCTTCTTCTCGTTCTCGGAGGTAATCTTATTCTTCAAGTGATCCTTGTAGTCCAAAATGCCACCCTTCCACTTGGTCACCGTCTCCTTCTCACAAACCCAAATCTCTTCAGCAACCTAGAGAAAAGTGGGCAAAGAAGCATTAGCATAATCCTGCTGACAATAATCACCATATATATATATATATATAGCCATACCTGATTGATCAGACGGAAATCGTGACTAACTAGCACCATGCCACCATCGAAATCATTGATGGCATCCGCCAGAGCATCGATGGTCTCCATATCCAAATGATTTGTAGGTTCGTCGAGTAGCAGCAAATGAGGCACCTGCCAGGCCAGCCAGGCAAAGACAACGCGACAACGTTGGCCATCCGACAGCTGGCGTATGGGGCACACCTGCTGCCGTCCTGTCAAGCCATATCGTCCAATTATCTTGCGCATCTCCTCCTTCTCCTTGACGTCGGGAAAGGCGCGCATCATATACTCCAATGGACTAGCATCCAGGTCGAGCAGCTCGTGCAGATGCTGATGATAGCGAGCGATGCGTAAATGTGAGTTCTTACGTATCATGCCAGATGTGGGCACCAGATCGCCGTAGAGCAGCTTCAGCAGCGTCGATTTGCCAGCTCCGTTGGGGCCTACCAGGGCGAGACGCGTGTCCAAATCAATACCAAACTCAAGGTTCTTATAGATCCACGGAGTTTCATCGTTGTATCGGAAGTTGACATTCTAGGGAAGGGGGGAGCGAGCATTCAGTACAGCGACCATAAATATATTTGTCAGTTGGACTCACCTGAACCATAATCACAGGTGGCGGCACCTTGCCACATGATGGGAAATAGAAATTGAGCACCTTGTCGTCGGTCACCTTCTCGGTTAAACCTTGGGCAACCATCTTGGCCAGTGTCTTCTCCTTGGATTGTGCTTGCCTGGCCAATTTGGCCGAGCCGTGACCGAAGCGAGCTATGTAGTTCTTCATGTGTGCAATCTGATCCTGTTCCCAGTTATACTGCTTCATCTGGTTCTCCAGCAGCTCCATGCGGGTGCGCACAAAAGCCTCATAGTTGCCCGTATAGTATTTCAAGCGTTTGCCCGTCAAGTGAATGATGTTCGTACAGACGCCATTAAGAAAGTCCTGCGAGTGTGAGATGAGGACCAGGATGCGCTTATATGTCTTCAGCTCCTCCTCCAGCCACACGCACGCGTCCAAATCCAAATGGTTTGTCGGCTCGTCCAGCAGCAACAGATGCGGCTTAACAAATAGAGCGCGCGCCAGTGCAATTCGCATACGCCAACCACCTGAACAAGGGGGAAAGACACAGAGAATTAGATATTTATAGTGCCCGTAGTCTAGGTGGCAACGTTACGATAGGAAATTTGGCAACTTTGGGTAAAATTGAATGATAAATGGTAGATAGGCCAGAATGATTGATGGATTGGTGAGAACTTAAGCCATAAAGACTTGAATGAATAGATTGCTTTCTATATAATAGCTGTTAGAAGGAAGGCTCTTGAGGAGTCATCTATTAGATCATGCTTAAGTTACTATCACAGCTATGCTGCGATCCCATTGGTAATCTAGATATTGTTATATCACATATATCTTACCAGAGAAATCCTTGGCTTGCTTCTGTTGCATGGCCTTATCGAATCCGAGACCGTGGAGGATGCGTGCTGCCTTGGCCTCGGCTTGATCGGCGGACATATCGTCCAGGCGCTCGTAGATATCGATCAACTGCTCTTGGGCATCGTCCTCATCGCTCATGGCCAGCTCCTCGGCCAGTTTCTCCAGCTTGATGCGCTCCTCGTCCACCTCCATGACGCACTGCAGCGCACTTTTCGTGCTGGCCGGTATCTCTCGCGTCAAATGGAATATATCAATGTGTGGCGGTATGGGCACCTCGCGCCTGCCAAGGACGGCGAGCAGCGATGACTTGCCGCAGCCATTCAGACCGATCAGGCCATAGCGTCGGCCACAGTTCAGCTCCAACATTGTGTCCTGCAGCAGCTCCGAGCCGAAGAACGTTATTGAAAAGTTGGCAATCTTCACGTCACGTGATCTTGGATGCACGGCCAGAGAGCCAGTGCAGGATCTAGCCTCGGCACTGATTCTAGCCTCCTCCTCGAGCTTGGCGCACAATTTCTCCTCCTCGGTCATTTCCCGATCTAGGCCGTTGGCATTGCCATTCATCTTCTTTGTGGATGGTATCTGTTGGATTTTCTTGTTGCGCGCATCCTTTTTGCGTTGCGCATCCCGTTTCTTAGCGTCCGACGGCATTTTGATTCTTTTGAAATTTTTAATGTATTTTTTGTAAGGTTATGTTTACAATACTTTGAAGTTGCCGAATCGAAATTTTTGAGTATGTGTGCTTGTGTTGTCTGTATGCCTAAAATGTGTTTTATATATCTGAAAATATATATGTGATTGTATATAAATCTCCTGTTTGAGCGTGCCTGCGCTCGTATGTGTGTATGTGACTGCTGTGAATGACAACAAAAGAAAAACACAGTTGAAACAGCATAAGTATGAACAACGAATGATTAAATACAGCAATCAAGAACAGGAGGAGCAGACACACAAATGCAATCATATTTAAGCTTGAGCGAAGTTTTGTATATCTATGCTTTGTGCATCATTTAAGTCTTGTTGGCGACTGTAAAAGCGAAATGACAGTTAGGTCTGAATTACGAATTACTTCCACACTGGAACTGGAATGCGTTTCCCATATAGTGTTGCTAAATGTCATGTCATTAGTGTCAATTATTATCTTCGATTGAGTTGAGTTCCCTGCAATATCTAGGATCTTGCGGCAATTCCACCTTGCCACGCTCCGTGCATCACAAGTGTATACGAATTTGAGAGAAAGCCGCGCATTAAGATTACTTGAATCATATTCGCATATCATAATTAGACAAATTTTTATCATTTCTATTGCTCGTCCCACATCCAGTTTCAATAATATTGAAGAAGAACATGTGAGAACAGACACAGCGCAAATTTACTGTGCATGCGAATGTGAATGTGGTAAGTACATATGTAGAGGGTACGCTGTCTGGGCTGCAGATGGCGCCACATGCGCACCTTCGGCAGCAACTGTTTCAACAAAGCGCCGAAAAACGGTTCAACAGAAAAAACTCGCAAGCGCAAGACGCGTCACGATTGTTTCTTATATCTACGTATTAACAAATGACTGATGCTTATGGATTTTCGTTCTAGCTGTTGCTGAACCACATTTCACCTACATTGCCGCACTTTTTTTTTTTTGCAATGAATCACTTTTGGTCAATGGGAGACGCTGCGCACTCACTTTACAAAGCGTGCACAGAGGAATTTCGCTGCAGCTGATGATAGTCTGCAGGTGTGCAGTGAAAAGTAGGGGAAAGGAATGAAATTGCAACACATACACGCGCTAGACAATACTTGTCCTAAACTGTTACAGCACACACGCGTACTCACACATACACAAGCTATATAGATGTACATGCGTGTGTATATATCTATATACTGATACATGTGCACATTTATATATGTATGTGTGATGTGCCATTATTGAGTTTTTCACGGTTGGCGTTATATAGCACATCTCACCTTTAATTTTGTTGATAGAAAAATAAAAACTGAACGTGTCACGCAAAAGAATCGAAGCCAATTTGCATTTGTTGAGCTGTTAATGCTGGTCCGGGCTTCTGAGGGGCTGCTGCTAGACGACGAGCTGCTGCTTTACAACGGAACAGGAACACACCGAACACGCACACACCAACAGCAGCTGCAAAAAATGCTGCTACTTCTGCCTTTTATCGTTTTGACCACCGCACACGTGTTACGTTGAAATTATCGAGCACCGTATATCGATATGTTTTATTAATATAAATGCATACTTTTATATGCGATTCTGACGACCGAACTATTGTATTTAAATGAATATTAATTTTGATTGACTAGGAAAAGTTTCATATACAGTTTTGTACGTTTCTCAAATATATAACAATACATCGATACTTGAAATATCGATGGCTTTTAATGTGTATGCTAAGATTCATGAATATTTGATTAATTATCAAACAACTGGTTCGCCTGGATAAGCCTTTAATGTGACTATAGTTTTTATTGTTAGAAAAAGTTAAATGTCAGCCAATATTCAAATTGTATTTTGGCGGCAAACGATGCGTACTGCTTCTTTAAGATTTGCCATTCACATCACAGGCGCGTATTCTTAAGCGATAGTTCAGGGCTACATATTTATTGTCGATAATTGTACAGCACTGTTTCCATTTTATGAATTCAAAATGGCGCGCATTGTTTGAGGCGTACAATTGGCTTTGTGTACATTTGTTATTTTGCTCATTGCAGAACTTTGTGAAACAGTTTTAAACATTTCGGTTGGCTATAAAAAATAATTTTATTTTAAAATGTTGGAAACCAAGAGCATCGCTGCCTTGGCCTTCAATGAGACGCCACGCAAACGCAAACGTGAAACCAATTGCGCAGCCGCAACCCTTAAATCCGAAGTAGCAGCTGCAGCTGCAGCTGCTGCACCTGGTGCTACAGGAAATGCGTCGTCATGCTTCACCAACGCCGCCTTCAGCTCGACGCCGAAGAAATTGATTGGCCGTCGTCGTTTGGTCAAAGAGAATGAGCAACCAAATCCCTTTGCTGCGCATCCGGGACTAGAAATTAAATCGATTGCGGATTTGGCTGCAGTGCAGCAACAGCAAAAGGAGCAGCAGGGACAGCTCTCACTAAATCCCTTTGAGGTAGTGCGTCAGCCTTCAAAGAAAAAGAAACGCGCCCACGCATGCTTCGAGAATCCGGCTTTGAATCTTGAGTTGCCGGAGCGTCAATTTAATCCATATGAGGCAAGTTGCAGAGCTTTCATACTCTCTTGTGTTCCACATTAACCTAAACTCTATTTAAGGTCGTCCGTGCAACTGCCACGCCCACCAAGGGCTTCGTAAACGAGGCCTTGAATTTACGAGGCAACGATGCACCCGCCTCGCTGAATCCTTTTGAGATTCATCGTCGCAGCGACATCTCCAACGCCGCTGCAAATCCAACGGGCGTAGAGAATCCGGCCTTGACCGAGGAGCCATTGCCCACCAGCTTGAAGATAGGTTTGCCATTTACACCGCGGCTCAATTGTCGCATCGATTTCCATGGTCTATCGCTAGCTCAGCTCACGCCCAGCAAGCTGCTCGCCGATAAACTGGTCTTCTCGCCAGTTCCCAAGCAATTGGAAGCGCCAGCTAAACGTTCGCTGGGCGCCATCAGCGAGGAGAGCAGCAGCATGGACATTGGCAAGGAACTGGACCGCTACCAACTGGAGCTGGAGAATAGCATCAATGAGGCGAAGTTGCGCAAGAATGGATTGTTGCTGGAGACGGAGCAGACAGACCTGGAACTGGTTTCCAGTGTCGAACAGGGCAGCGAGGAGCGACGCTACGTGTGCACCACACGCAGGCAGACCTTGACTGAGATATTGGAGGCCAATGAGGAGGAGCGGGAGACGGAGCAGCAGTCCAAGGAGAAGTCGCTCGAGTTGCCTCAGCTGGCAGGTGAAGATGTGACGTATGCTTCTGAGGATTCAGAGGAAGAGCAAGAGCCGGAGGCAGCTGCTGTCGCCGATTTTAAGCCTCCTCCACGTTTCGTGCGCTCTTATCGGCCAGGTGGGGCAGCTGCAGCCATAGCTGGCAGCAAGGAGTCGCTGCACTCCATAACATCCGCCAGATCCACCAAATCCTTGGAGCTGGACATTCAAAGCAATATACGCAAATCCATCAGGAAACCCAAACAGCAGGCAGAGCTGCTGGAACAGGAGTCAGAAAAGCAGAAACAACTCGAGGGCGATGATGTGGCCTATGCTTCCGAATCGGAGCCCGAGGAAGAGGAACAGGATGAGCTTAACTTCAAGGCTCCCACACGCTTTGTACGCTCCTATCGTCCAGCCGCCACGCCGGCAGTTGCGGCTGTAAATGTGGCAGGCAGCAAGGAGTCCTTGCACTCCATTGCATCCAGCAAATCGGCCAAGTCCGAGGAGCTGCATGGTGCGCACGGCGTGCGCCATATGATAAGGAAGTCCATTAGAAAGCTTATGCCCAAGCCGCAGGCGGAGCACAAGCCATCGGAGCAGGAACCGGATTCATCGGAGAAACCCCATCACAACATCTTAACTAGCATACGCCACAGTCTGCGCCGGCGGCCACAGAAGCCGCAGCCGGAGGCGCCAAATTGCGGCCCATTGGACGTCTCTATTGTGGACAGCAGCGAGCGCACCATGAAGCTACGTTCCACAATTCCCCAAACCGAATACATGACCATCGATCAGCTAACGAACGAGAAGAAGCACACCCTGCGCAACAGTATCAGGCGCTCTACACGGGATGTGCTGCGACATGTGTTCCACAAGAGTCACGATGCCTACGCGACGGCCAAGTGAGAGAGAGAGCGAGCGAGCGAGCGAGCGAGCGAGTGGGGAGGGAGCGTTAGACATTGAGAGATAGATTCCACAAACATATATCTAGCAAGCTTTGCGTGTCTGTCTATGAGGAGCAATGAGCAAGAAAGAGATGGAGTGAGAGAGAGAGAGAGATAGATCTGCATACACACAAGTATGACCAGTAAGAGAAAGAGAGAGAGAGAGAGAGAGAGAGATAGGCTCCACTCGCATACATATATAAAAAGTTCTACGAGTTCTTTAGCATCCAAAGATTGTCCACAAATGTTTTTTTTTTTTTTTTAAATCTATTTTAGTATTAAGTTTTTACTTGAAGCGATCTGGCAACGATGCTTAAAGTGTTTGGTATATATAGGAAATCAGAGTTTATATATACATATATATTGAGCTAGATGCCTCTGACATTCGTAGATATATCAGCCCACTTCTTTCACTATCTGGCAACGCTGTCCCGCTGTAAAACAAGAAGTAGCTCTGAAGCACAGGTACAAAGAACTTGCAAGCAACTAGCTGTACTTAGATAAAACAGATAAAACACTAAAACCCTCCGCATAAAGTGAGGTTACAAATGATTCGATTCGTGGAGCTCCTAATTATTGAAGCTTAGTTTTTAAACACAATTCTTAATGTTTTGAATGTTCAAGCAGCGTGTGTTTATTGATCAGCTATAACCAGAGATTCTTATAATTTATATCAAGAGTCCCGTATAATATAGAAATTTACATATATTATATGGTATTTTTTTAAGGATATATACTTCTATTATATATCTGAGCTTGCCTCTCTTGATGTAAACGTATTTCATGCAATTTACTTAAGCAATTTATTATTGACAAATTTTTACAAATCTTGTTCTAGTTTTTATTGGGTAAACCCCTCTTTATAGATGTTAATTCTACTTTCAATTTAAATGCACGTTTTTTCTTATATTAAATTTAAGATTTGTTTTTAAATATTTATATATTGCACTACAATAAAGTTTGATATTTATTTAATATTTGTGAGGTTATGTTTTTATATCTAATATTGACTTTCTAGTTGGAGCTAATATTATGCGAAAAAAAAGATATATATGTATTCCATGAATTCTATTTGTTCAATTTTATAGTTTAAGGCGACTACGATTCTATATGACGAAATTTTGGTCTGATGTCTATTTCCAACATTGCTAGAACTTCAAAGCTCATCGATTAAGTTATTGGTCCTCAATTGCAAAAACCTTCGATCGTAAGGGGCTTCTGGTATAAAGTCTGGCAACACCAAGCTCGCGTAAAGCTCCCGAATTTCTAATACAATGAGCTAAGGATATATTTGAATTGGACGAGAACCGTTGGATCTCTCCAATTAGAAGTACTTTCAATGGGTTTACTTCTAATCTCAGATGAAATTGAATAGGAGCTTCACCTAATGTAAGCTTATATTTGAGGAATTATTGCTTCCAAGGAAAGTCTCGCTTTTAAGACATCGATTTTAGTCGAAAAAGAAGAGATACTTAAACATATCCTAAACTAATTTAAAGATATTCTAAAATCCTTAAGGAATTCCTCTAGAGCTGTTGTAGAAGAGATGCTGTTTAGACAGAGTCATCTCCTCCTTTCTTAGTGGGCCCAGATCTCTACTGAAGAACCTACGGATCCCTTAGAGAGCTGCGGCTCTACTTGTAGACAGTCTGCAGAAGGGGTCTCCTGCGCTGCTCGGGCGGCTTGTAGGCGTGCTGATAGACGCTGGCCAGTCTCCAGTGCTCCGGATAGCCGCCTTGGCCGGCGCCGCCGCCTTGACTGCGGAAGGGCGGCACCAGTGTGTCGATATCGTAGTTCTTTTTCGCATACGGCTGTCGGGGGCGTGGCACGACCAGAACACGAGCAGCGCCACCAGAGGCAGCTGCGCAGCTCGGCGGGATGCCCACGAAGTCGCCGGAAGCATTCAGCTTGGGCATGCCGGCACGAAAGGCCGCCTTGCTCGACAGGCAGTGGCCATGAGCCGAGGGACAGCATCGGGGAGCCGGCGCCACTTTGTGGCACAGGCGGCGGGTCGGCCGACGAGCTGGCTGGTCACGTCTGCAAGCGGGACCCGGGATTTGTGGGCAGCCCGTATGGCAATCGCTGTTGTCCGGCCCGAGATACTTTTCTCGCAGCGCTTGATAGGCCTTATCGCCCAGCATGGGCGAGGACTGATACTGCTTGGCTAGCCGATTCGTTGGCAGTCCAAAGCTAACGCCGCCGGAATGCCCGCTGGAGTCGAGTAAATTTGGAGCTCGACGACAGTGCGAGGCGCTGGACTCCCGCGAGACGCTGCGCGCACGCGCTGGCGGTGCGTAGTCGCAGCCGCAGTTCTCCTCCCGGGCCATTGGTCGGCCGGCGAAGTCCGTTTTACGTCGTAGTATGTCCTTGTCGAAAAAGTCCGGCTCACCCATGGTGCTCGTGAATACGCCCGCAGAGCGACCCAGCTCCGTGCTGGGCTGCTCTTCTCTGAGCGTTTTGACGCACGTGAACACCGCGGGTCCGGCGGAGTCGTTGGAGCCATCTATGTGCCTTGGCAGACGCGGCTCGTCCGCCGGATTGGCTGGCTTGAAGTCCCAGCCAATGGCCAGGTCCATGGCGCCCATCTTTTTCGGTGGCGCCGAGCCGATTCCACGGAACGGATCTCCGTTCAAGGCTTTGGGCAGAACGCCTCCCGTCTTTGGTCGATAGACTTTCATCTTGGTGCAGTGCGTCGGGCCGGCGTTGTGGGTCTTCACACCCACGCCCGTGGCAATGGGATCGATGTCGAGGGCCAGGCCGCCGTGACCTCCTGTGATTTGGGCCTTGCGGAAGGCCAAGTCTGCGACGCAATCGGGCAGCGGCTGATGGTCGAGATTATCCTGATGCATTCGCTTGGCCAGCTCGAAGTTCGCATACGCTGGCACTACGGGCGACGGGCAACGTTCATTCGGCTTCTCCGTAATCGAGTGCAATGGCATCTTACGACTCAGGTCTGCTTCAGCTAGAGCCGGAGTGGGAGCGGGCACTGGTCTACTTGAGATCAGATCTCTGCCGGGCGAGAAGTCCAGCTCGGACGGAACTAGACTCGAGTTCTGGTTCAGTTGGCCCGTGTACTTGGCCTGGGCGGCGGCTAGAGCCGGAAACTGTCTGCTCACCTCCTTCGCGCCGGCTCGATCAAATCTGTCCGCCTCCTCGTCCAAATAGAGACGACTTAAAGGTAGCTCCCGTTCGGGCGCATTTTGTGGCTTGAGTTTCGCGTCCAGCAGCTGCTGGTGCGAGGGCAAACGATATTCCGGCTCGGTGAGATCTCCGGGCGTATAGCTCAGATCCGGCAGTTTGTAGTTCACACTGCTGCTGGCAACGGCTGCTTGCGACATGATTGAACAAGAGATTCACGTCGGATATGTACTCTCAATCGATGTCAATCAACTGATGTGATGATGAGTGATTGATGGAGGATTATTGGATTACCGATGTGGATGTGGATGGATCATGATAAATGAAATGAGATTGAAGATGATTGATGAATGATTGATGCATAATACATTTTTGATTGAAGGCTGATGTGTGATTGAAGATGATTGAATACCAGTCAATGTTTGTACTTGAGAGATGGTATTGGGAAAGTCAAATAGATTCTAAATAGGCAATGATTGACTATGGATTGATGCCTGATTGACAACCTTTATTTATTGTTTAATACTATAACTATTAATGATTGATGATGCTAAGATGCTAAGTTGGTTAATGATTGACCGCTTGATGACTGGCTAACAAGCATTGATGATTATGATTGAGAATCGATCGAAGAACGGCTGAACAAACTGCTAGACTGCTTGATTGATTGATTAGTCTGCTTGACTTATTGACAAGCTTGCAATCTGATTGATTGATCAATTGACTACGAGCATTGAATTGAAGGTGCAAATTAATAAAATTTATTAAAAGATTTCACGTTCAAATTTGTATCTAAACCAGTTCATTGAGTAGAAATAGAGGGGATTACTTGGACTTCTTTTTTGCTTTACTGGGCGCTTTGGTTGTGGACTGGGCCGTTGTTTTATTTTGAGCTGGAGCTGAAACAACGACCTTGGCGTCCTTGGAACCCCCTTTGCCAGCGTCCTTGCCATGCTCCTTGATAGTTTCTTTGGAAGCTTTACTCGCCTTCACGTCATCGGCGCGGTGTTGGTTTCGGTTGTATTCGAAGGCGGTGACTGGACGCTTCTTTAGTTTATTTCGATCCCTGGACGAGGCGTCGCCAATGCGCGGAATCAACTTCTCATTCGGCTATGGGCGTGAATGTCGGTGTGTGTACGGATGGGGTTGTGCGGCAGTGAGCTGATTGATGGGGATTGAGTGAAGCTGAACTCACCTTTGGCTCGCACTTGGCGCGTCGACACTTCTTGTGCAGTTTATTGATTTCAAGTATTTGCTTCAAGCCTTCACACTTGGTCTGGCACTTTGGCCGCTGCCAGAGCGGATCGTCCTTGAGGCCCAGAGTCTCACGATAGCCGCACTGGTGCTTGAGCACTCTCTGGCAGTTGCACAGATTTCTCGGATACTTCCAGTACTTGTGCCTGTTGCTCAGGCAGTTGTTGTAGAGCGTCGCAAAGCTGCGCGTGATGCGCAGAGGCAACTGATACGTGCCGCGGTAGTTGCCCAGGAAATTGCCGTCCCTGCAAGAACGAGAGCCATATATTCGATAAATGGACTAATTTGGGGATCGCTCTTACCGTGGCACTGTGGGCAGCAGATGCCCGTTGTTCCCAGCTATCGGCTTCGAGTTGCCCCTCAGATTGCGTGGCAGAGGCGGCGAGAAGCGTGGATACTCCCAGTTGCTGACGCTCTTTGCTTGAAAGCTGCGCTCGTACTGAATGCGGGGTGCAGCGGTAGAGGCAGGGTAAATATATATATAAGATAAATATATATATATAAGATAAAGTTTAAATAATATTAGGAAAAAGACTTAATTGAATCGCATGAGGCAGAGGGGAGGGAGAGGAAACATAGAAAGTTAAGGAGCCAGAGAGATGAAAGGAAATGGGCAAGAGAGAAATGCAGCCGGAGAGGTAGAGCCAGAGAGCCAGAGAGCGAGAGAGAATGAATCGTGCAATTTATATTCTTGGCCGACTCGAGCTCCATAAGAAATAATAGACCTATAATAATATAATAGCCCTTTGCGAGAGCCCAAGACACCGATATGATAAGGTATAATATATACGGACGGACAGAAGTCAAGTTCCTTCAATAGAACTGACATGATGTCTGTCTCTGTGTCACACCCCGCTCCTAAGACGAGTCAATGAGCGAGAGTGAAATAGAGAGGGGGGGAGGGGGAGAGGCATAACTGCAGTTGGCTCTAAGCCAGTTGAACCTGTCAGCCACCTGTTTCAATTGCCAAGTCCTAAAGCTGTTATTTATGGGCGCTAAGCAAACCAATTGATAAAAAGCCAAAGACCGGACCGAGCTGAACCGCACCCTGCGTTCCCGCCCCTCCCCTCTCTTTGCTGATACCCGCCCCAGTGGGCGTGTCCCAACCCCCGTGCAACGATTACACGGCGTAATCGTAATCTCCGTGTTGCAACATGTGTAAAAAAGGCATTTCGCCTAATTCCACTTAATGCGTTGTTTGTGCTTCTGTTTCAGTTTCAGTTGCCCTCTCTCGCTCCCTCCCGCTATCGCTGCTGCGCTCTGTTTGTGTTTGTCTTTTTAAACAGACGGCAAACGGAAGCGATAAAAAATGGCTTGGGCTTGTGCAAAATTACACGACTACCATATACCCCTCAGTGGGATGCAAGCGTAATTTTCTCAATAATAAAAGAGAGAGAGAGAGAGAGAGAGAGAAAGAGAGAGAGAAGACTAAAAAAGAAATTTTGTATTATATTATTATCATTGACTCTGTCTTGCCTTCAACTCATAGTCCGTTCATGCCATTGAATTGTACATACCCCACATGTCAGCCAGTGCCTAGGGTAGCAAAAGACAGCAAATATATATAACCGGAACTGGCAATTGCTGCCAGAGTCAGAGCTAAGACCTACGGCTCTGCCGTGAGCCTTGGATCATAGTTGCTGGCGCAATCATTTATCAGCTCAGCTCAGATATCTCTCTCTCGCTCTTTTCATCATTCAGTGAGCAGCTGTTGCTGAGCAGCCTCTGCGTGGAGCAAGTGGAGCAGCTGTGGGCTCGTCCTGCTTCCCACGCAAGCTTCATTTCAATCAAGACGAGGTGGCAAATGCAAATTGCGAATGGTAATACAATACACAAGACCACGCCCAGCAGCTGCAGCCGCAGTGGCCGCCGCCGCAGCACGTGGCACGCTGTCAACACTTGATGACGGAATGCGACAGGGGCAGGTCTTGGTCTTGATTGAGTGCGTGCGAACCAGAGGGAGATCTACAAAGGAGCTGCACAGAGGTCGCTCTTGTTGCGAGGCGTTGCTACTGTAATTAAATTTGCACGGCAATTACACAACACTGGCGCTTCGAGATGGGCCCAGTGCTCATCGTCGTTAGAGGTGGGTGGAGTGGGCTGCGCTGGCATGGGGGCTATCGATAACAGGGACTAGGACGAAGCGTAAAATACAAATTGATTTTAAACTCAATTAGCAACAATCGGACGAGAGGCGCGACAAAAGACCTCAAGAGCTTAGCTCATTCAGACAGATAACGGGACAATTGATGCCCACCCCTTTTCACGAGGCAGCCGGAAACCCTTAGCGATGATTTTCATGTGCAGCCCTCTGGGGTGCAATTTATCACATGCTGGATTAGACAGTCAAAAAGCTAGCGAGCTGCACGTGCAGCGTCTGGTGTTTGTGTGGTTCCAACACCAACCAACCAACCAACCACCCACCCACACGAGCACACACACACACACGTACGAGGCGTGCCTGATGTAACGGCAGGGGAGACGGACAGTGTCTGTAGTGGGCAACACTTAAGCTAATTTCACGCACTGCAGCGATAGCAGCCACAGCAGCAGCAGCAGCTTCTCAGTGCACAGTTTTCATTGCCATTTCCACTTTTCCACAATTTCCCAATCAATTTTCTTCGGCAGCTCGTACAAAACAGCTGTCCACATGTAATTGCAATTGAAATGCCATTAAATACGATTCCCAATAAAAGGCGCTGCAGATGCAAAAAAAGAGATGTGGACACACATACACGAACACACACTAACAAAAATACTTGTCACTTCGGCTTGACCGTCGCCTGAGCCTTGCGAGTCGCACAAATTCCGTTAGACTATTTTGAGCGCGTCTTCTTTGTGCACAGCGCAAAAACAAATGTGTTGCAGGAGAGAATTGGGAAAAATAACTGTAAACAAGTTGCATGGCAATCGGTAATGGTAACCAAGTAAATAAAACTGTCGCTATTTTGGCATAGCTGTCGGCTGCCTGGAAGAGGGAGAGGCAAAAGGAAAGGAAGAGAAGGGACGAAAGGCACGACGTAGGTGACAAGAAGGGGGGCAATGGGAAAATATGCAAAAGTTGCGTACGCATCACACACACACACACTTGCAAACACATGCACATATACATACAAATGCATGTATGGACATACATGTGCCTGTATGTATGCTACAGCGCAGCTCAGCTGCCAGCCGACAAAGGCGTCGAAAGCGTTTAGCTAATCGAGCTGCAGCTCAGGTGGAATTGAATTGATTTACGATTTTGAGCTATTTAAAATATATAGACTTTAATCCTTTCTATTCAATCATCACTAAATTGAAAGCTATTCCACAACGGTTTGTCATATATGTATACAAAATCATTGGAATTTATTTACTATTGTCGCCCGGTTTGCTTATGCTCTCTATTTATAGAGCCTGGTACTGGGTTGGGGAGCAGGTCTATTGGTATTTTGATTTCTGTGCGGGTTAAACATAGCCCAGATTGAGGACACGCTCGCCCGGTTGCCATGTCTATGTCTATGTTGTTATTGTTGGCCTTGTGAGACAGACAAGCCATAAAGCCAGCTATACGTACATACATACATTTATGTAGGAGTAAACTTAATGCTAATGAAACTCAGAGAAAACATTCTACCAAAGGAAACTGTAGATAGTCAATGAACAGGTAAGCAACAACTGGTTTACAGGGTATACAAATATGCGTACTTCAGTTAAGGTTACAGTTACAGTTGACTTCATATGCTATGACAGAGGATTGAACCAAAGATTTGTTATAAGCTAGAGGCAGACTGACTCTTTTTGACTGGCAACAATTTCCGTAGAGGGTATATGCTAGTTGATCTAACAGCTGTCTTGTTACTTCCGTCTCTGACTCTCAGCAAGCGAATTTCAGTTACGGTCACGGAAATGCAGCAATTGGGTCGAATTTGATAGGTGGCAACGCCGGCGCAACTAAATTGAGGTTAGGTTCGGCTGGCTACTGCCGCCGTTGGCTCACCTGCATCGCACTGAAATTGAACGCCATTTTCGATTTCCTCCCTGTTCTCCTCTTTGTTGTACGGCTTATGAATTTCGAATTTCGAGGCGAACGAAAAACGGGACACAAAAATAAAGAATCTTCAATGGCTCCACAGTGAGCTGATATTAAACTGGAATGAATATAAGTTTTCTCTGGTACTTCAAAATATGTATTGAGTCCAACACACACAAACAAAAACAGACATATACTCGTATATGCTCACATAAACACACAAACACACACATGCACACTCGGGCAACGCACACTGCGATTGACAATATTTATTTGGGGGAGATTTTATAGGTTTTCGGGGGCGTGGCCTGCACTGCGCACAGCAGCTATGGCACACAAAGTGGAGCAGCCTGAGAGCGAGAGATGAACAGTGTCTGTGTGTGTGTGTGTGAGAGAGAGAGAGAAAGAGACAGAGATGGAGATGGTGGGGAGTTTGGTTCTGGATTGGGGCTTGGCGCATCTGGCGTATTGCGCGCAGACAGCAAAACAAATGGAAAACCTGACAACGCCAGCTGAGCCACGCAACTTTCCTAAACTGGGTGACTGACTGACGCTGAGATACCCTGTAAATGATGAATTTCGATTTATAATGAGGCAGACTCTGGGAATAGATGACGAATATTGTGGCCATGCAAGTGTTCCAAAAGGACAATCCCAGATATGATACATAAAAATTATTAACATTAATTAGATATACCTTTAATAGTAGCTCAAGTAAAGACATTTGTCTTTAGATTGGTGAATGATTGGGTCAGAGATACCCTGTAGTGCGTTATATAACCACATTAAGGTAAATCGAAAGTGGAAAGGAGATAGAGAGAGAGACCGAAAGAGATAGAGAGACAGAGAGGGGGAGATAAACATATGTACATACATATATACAGAGGGATTGAATAAAAGAGTTAGATGAAGATCGTGCTGAGATTAAGCGATAGTAAAGAGTAAGCAAAGACAGGTACAGAGAATCTATATAGAGTATTCCAATCCGTTTCTTAGGTAGCCCCCAAAAGTAAACTCGCATAGTTGCTGTACAATATATACATACATACACAGATACATATAGATCAATTTATTGCTGGACTTGGATATATAAGCAAATATCACGTATTACACATATAGCTATACTCTATGAAAAAAAAAAACACGAATTTACACTTTGCCTAAGATCGAGTTGATTCTATGGACTAGAATAGATATACATACATATTTATATATATAGATAGATTTAGATAGGTATTGTATGTCGGAGCTGTGGTTAGTTGTAGGGGTAGGAGGTCGTGGAGGATGAGGAGGAGGTGGAGGTGGAGCTGTTGTTGAGAAACATGGCGCCTGGCAACTGGCTGCAGCTGGAGGCGTTGGCGGTATCTCAGGGCGTCTCGAGCACATGATTGAGGTACGCTATGTAGCAGATGGCCAGCTTGAGGATCTCGATCTTGGAGAGCTTCTTGTCCGGCGGCAGCGTGGGCAGCAGCTTGCGCAGCTCCGCAAAGGACACGTTGAAGGCCTCCACGCGTATCCTTTCGCGCGTCGCATGCGCCGTTCGATATTTGAGCGTGGCGCGGCGCCGCCGACGACGCTCCTCCCTGGACAGCCCCACCAGCTCGGAGGGATCCAGGTGGGTGATGGGCGTGGTGCGACGCCGCGGCGCCGGCGTTGGCGGCGGCCCGGGCAGCGCCGGCTGTGCCGCCGTCTCGCACGCGATCCGCGCCTGATACCGCTGGTCGATGTCCAGCGTCGTGCTCGCCGCGTAGTCCTCGCTGGCGACATGCCCCAGACCATGGCCGTTCGATATGTTCGCACTGCTGTTGCCCGACGCCAAGTCGTCGTCCTGATCCATATAGTAGCGACTCAGTGAAATGCTCTGCGGCGGCCCGGGTGCCAAGTGCGCCATATCGTAAACCATATTTGGATGATGCTCCTAATCCCAATCCCGATGCTGCTGCACCTCGGCTGACCACTGTTTGGGGTTGAGAGAAAGATCACAAGCTGTCAAGTTCAAGTTCTAAATTCGATGTTATAGAGAGAAAGGTATCTAAAGCGTGAGCTATTCCCTAGAGAGCTATTTGCTCGCGCTATAACCACTACTTTGCTCCAATAGTAGTTAATCATTTTGCGAGAGTCCTTATACCAGGTCTATTGTCCCTGACCTCGAGCTAACTCAGAGAAACCAAGTCTTAAGGGCTTTGAATAGAGTTGTCCTGAGAAGGTTTGCCCAATCAAATATGTAATTTTTCCAAAAAGGAATTATTCTTTACTTCAAGCAGCCACATACCAAATGGGACGTCGCTGGGTCCACAATTTCTCGAGTTAAATATAAATCTCCAGACGAAATTATTTTCAATTGATATAAAGCCCAGTAGAGCCTAATCTGAATTTTCCAACTCCAACATTTCTAGATTTGTGCTTGGAGACATCAATCTCCAAATCGATTTTTATCGATGTTAATGCTAATGATAATCGATAGCAATAGGCGGTAATGATATTCCTGAAGAACGGCTTTGGTCTCAAACTAGAGTCTTGATGAGTCTAATGAATCATCAGGAATACATATATGCACTCTATACAGATTTTACGAAGAGCTGTTTCAATCGGATCAGGTGTACAGATATATGTATGTACATATATACTTATATATTTTTTTTGTTGGCGCTATCTCAAGCACTGCTTGATTAAGAATGTTTGCATTGCTTCTCCGCCCACAGACACGCCCACGTAGCAAATAACAGTTGCATTATTTATAGAACAATGCCGTGGGCGTCCGAAGGGTGTGTGTGTGTGTGCATCAGTCAACCCCTTTGGGGAACCCTTTCTGGTCACGTGTTTTGTTTGCGTTTGCTATTATATTATATTTATTGTGATTATTATTATGTTTACTTATTATCGTCATTGTTGCTGTTGCTCTTCGGGCTTTTATTTGCGACATATTTTCACACCTACACAAATAACGACGGAACAATTGTCACGTTTGCATTTATTGTGGCCCGCGGGAGTTGAGGCGGTGTTCGAACTTCGAGCCTCGAACCCCTTTTTGATTTTGCTGTTGAATGCGCTTCACGAATCCTAAGAACTCGTTTAGGGCGGCAATTGTACTCCAGAGATGAAAACACGCACTTGAAAATAATATTTAACCAGAACAAAAACCAACTTGAGCACTAACTTGAAGTGGATCAACTTTTACTTACAAGAATCGCAATCAGACACAGAAACTGAATTTGAGATTTGTGTTTCAGTTTTTATGCTGATGTCCTGCGCCCGCAAAGCTTTCGAAACGAACTGAGACGCTGTGCGGATGCTGCAGCATCCTTTATAGTCAGCAGCCGTATGAGCCAAGCAACCCCCGTTTGTATGGCCAAGCGGCAGCCAATGGGAAGCGCTGCATACAAAGCCACTAGCCAATCAGCGTTACAAAATGGCGACGATTATGCTAATCATATAACTGTAACGCCACACCAATAAAATGGGGCCCTTGACAATATAAGAGATATATGTATACATAAGGAAAATGTCACATAAAAGTTTTAATACAACATTTATTCATTTATTCATCGCTGTGTAAAATATTTAATTTCGTTTACATTTCATATTCATATGCACTTCATTTGACGGCTGGCGAGAAGATCTCAAAGCTTACTAAAATTCATTTCTTCCATAATATTGTTTACTTAACACAAGAAAGAATAGCTCAACAAAGCGCTCAAATGTGGAATTTTGAAAAAAAGAAAAACTGTTACAGATAGTCAATATTTCAATTGGTGCCTGAATAACTTTATTATCGCGACGTCCAGCGATATGCTTAACTATCGCCTGAATTCTTACAACACTGTTTGGGATCTAACTATCGATAGCTTCAATTCAAATTGCGTGTATATGTGAATGGCGATATTGCGCAGTAGCCCTGGTAGACTTTCATAACCAAGCAGCTGCTGGTCTCGTTAATTTATTTCATAAATAACATAATTGTTAAATAAAATGAACAGATTGCGCCTATTACAGCCGGTGCAGCTCAGCCTGAGGCTCGAGCGTAGCTATGGCAAGCACAACAAAAAGTTCCTGTACAAAGATGGCAAAAAATACGAGAATATTATTTACTATCCCAGGTGAGATGCAAAACCCGGCCCGATAAAAAGAATTCTTAAAATGAAATGACAATTGTATAGAACGCCCGACCATCAAGATCCACCAATCGAGCCGGCCAAGCTATTTCGCGTGCAGCGCATCAAGCCCGTCAAGGGCAATCCTTACTGGGAGAAGCGCCTACTCAAAGACTTGGGCTTGGACGGCAAGCAAAGCGATTTCACCGTGGTTAAAAATATTCCCGAAAATAATGCCCGGCTATGGAAGATAAAGCATTTGATCAAAGTGTCCCCAGTGACATTCCCCTACGGTGAACCAACTAAACAGGACATCAAGCACACGATACTCAAAGAGAACGGCGAATGTTTGGTGACCAAACAAATCGGAGCTGTGGAAGAGCGCAGCGAGGCACGCGCAGAGTTTGACCAACAGCCCAAACGATTGGACACGGAGCTGCTGAGAAAGGATGCGCGACTCAAGTGGCTCAATCCCTGGTAACAATAAGTTCATTTAAATCTATTAATATGTAAAAGAGGAAAGTTATTAAACGCGCGGGAAGTAGAGTTCAGAACTGTCTTTCAATAGTAATCGTTAAATCTCGCGAGCTGTTGGTGAGTCTTAAAAGATTCCATCCGTTTTAATATATATGTGTATATACATTTATATAAAAATAAAAGTGAACTGGGTCGAGACTTTCAAGTCTTGTTGTCATAGACAACAACGGCGACCTTCTTTTCGATCGTTTTGCAACCGGATGTGACGAACATACTATGCTTGGGATCGTAGGTAGCGGCTTCATTAACAACTTGTTGAATATCCTTCAGTGTGGGACGATATCCATGGCGTTCAAACTCGGCCTCCACGCACAGGACGATGTGGGCCTTCTCGAGGGCCATGAAGGGAACATAGTGATCGATGGCATGCGCCTCGATCATGTTCGTCTTCTTCAAGCCGCCCTCCATATTGTACGCAGACAGCTCTAGCATCTTCTCGAAATCGGAGAGTTTCGTATCCTCGCGCCGTTTGCCACTCTTCATAAGGCGGACCAAGTGGTCAGAAATTTCGATGCCCGCCGTATTTGATAGGAATATAAATATGGCTTTCGTATAATCGGCATCGCCCTTATTGGCTGCATAGTCAATGAAGGATGTCAGCGTGTCGAAGACGCCAACCGGCATCTTGTCCACCTCATCGAATATGAAGAGTGAGCGCGGGCATTCCTTGATGCTTTTCCGTACCTCATTATTGATGCGCTCCTTGTACTCGTTCAGGCGACTCGGATGAGCGAAATCCGCCCGGCCCAAATACTTGTGCACATATTTGCTCTTTGTACCCTCTAGGTAAAGAGCTTCTGCTATCTGGTCAGCCACGAAGCTCTTTCCCGTGCCCGGCGTTCCATGAAAGCTCATAACTAACGGCTTCCGAGAAGGATTTGTCGATTGTAAATGGGCCATGAGAGCGGAAACAACATATTGCTGCACAATATGTTGGCCAAAGAGCGTACGAGACAATGACTCCTTTAATTCTGGAAATGTGTTTGCTATCAACAAATCTTTATTTGTATTCAATCGACTTACTTCCTATATTGCCTGGCACGCTGCGTTCGTCACAGCATTCGGCAAACTTGCAATAAAAGTAATTGCTCGCGCCAAAAATGCCGGTAACTATTGCCGTGCCTGTAATTGCTGATATAGGCTCAATGCCATGAACTGTGCCGCTTCCAGTTATTGCAACAATTAGCAATATGTGTATACATTTTGTACATTTATTTGTTCTGTGTGCAGTCATTGTACGCAATTAGACTCTAATTTGCATTGATCAAAATACCGATTACAGTTGCCATGGTATCGATATAGCTCACAACATATTTATAAGCAAATAATTTTTGGCAAAAGTCGATAATTTATTTTGTTGGCAATATATAAAAAGTATGTACAAAGTTGCGCATTTATTTTTAATAAAAATTATATTCAACAGCACAGGCACAGCCTTGTAGCGGCAAATACTCAATTAATTTTTTTTTAAACTTCACATACAACTATCGATACTATGATGAATAATAGCCGGCTATCATATATCTAATAGTTCGACTACTTCATTTTCAAATTGCAATCGATAAGTGCAAAGAAAAAAGTAAACAAGCGTCGTCGTTGCAGTTTGTATTAGCATCACATAGAATTTAAACATTTTTCGAGCCCTTGCCGTTGGTAAATAACGCTTTTAAAAATGATGGCGCAAAAGCAGGTGCTGCAGGAGTCTTTCCAAGGCCAGGGGCAGAGCATTGAGACAACAAAATCGGCCATCACGAAAATGTTGGTTCGCACCGAAAGATTTCAAACGCGCGTACGCAAGCATATTGATGAGAATTATACAGAATTCATGCCCAATCATACATCGCCCGACATCTTTCTGGAGAAAGCGACCATACTGGGCGACGAAATCAACGAGCTGCTGGCCAGCGTTGGTGAGGAGGGTCTAGCCGCCTTAAACGACGCCAGCGCTGAGCTGGCAAAGAGCAGCAAAGATCTGCGGGAAATATTGCTGGAGCTGCGTGTCAGCGAGCATATATTAAAGCTGGACGATCTATTCCAGTGTGTCGAAGAGGCGAAGGCCAACAAAGACTACCTGGTCGTATTCGACCTGATGGGCAAACTGCGCAGCCTGATCTACAGCGACTCCACAGACTCTGCCGATGTAGCGCCCGAGGTGGAGCGACTGTTCCAGGCATTGGATTGCTACGAATCCATTAAAGTCAAGTACCATGTGCAGGCGCATTTGCTGCAGCAGAACCTGCAGGAGCGGTTCGATCGCCTGGTGCAATTGAATTGCAAAACGTTTCCCAATTCGAAATGCGTTACGCTGCTCATTAGCAAGGACGAGACGCAACTGCAGGACGTTGTGAGTGCTCTGTTCCAGGAACGCTACAATCCTGTCAAGCTGTGCAACTTTCTGCTGGAGCACTGCATAGAGCCGCTGATACTGAAACCCGTTTCGGTTGAATACAATGAAGCCGCCAAGGATGACAGTCACATACAGCTAACGCTCTCGTATTCCATCAAGGACCAGGACGCCGCGTCGGCTCTGCTGCGGCCCAACTATAAGGATGTATTTGATCATTTCCGCCTGCTGCTGCAGACACTGAGTGCCATCAATAGCAACCTCAACGGCACTCAGCATGTGTTCACCGTTATCGGCGATCAGGTTAAGGACCGCATGCTCCAGCTGCTCGTCGAGGAGTGCCTGATACCCGCTGTCCCGGAAACAATGGATGAATACAATAGCTCCACTCTATGCGCAGATGTTTTACAGTTCGAACATCTGCTGGCGGATGCATATCTCATCAATCCAGAGCTGGACTGTGCTCTGACCGAGTTCACCAAGGAGTTCGATACATACTATCGGAATCGCCTCTCAGCCCGTGTCCTTGCCACGGCTCGCGAGATAATACAGCGCGATCTGCAGGATATGGTGCTGGTGGCTCCGAATAATCTATCTGCTAATGTGGCCAGTGATCCGTTTCTGTTTCCTCGCTGCATGATCTCGAAGAGCGCCCAGGCAAGCATCTTTATATAACAATTACGCTCGGCGGGGTATTCAATTCACCAAGCGCTCTGCTGCCCGCCCCCATGCCTCTCTCTACACATCTGTCACTACGTTCGCCTGCGCCTCCTTCACTTCAACTATCCCTCGTTCCTCTCTCCCTCTCTATCTACCAGACTATTTTGTTCCTTATCCGCACAGTCTTCTCCTTTGGCTGTGATTCTCATCCATCTATTCTATGTTCTTCATTCGTCAATCTAACTATCTTATCTATCAATCTATCTACCTATCCGTATTCCCTTCAACTCATTCATCCAGGGATTTACCGTTCTGTCGTTTATCTTTCTGACTCTTCGCTTACTCGTCCGTAAAGTCGTGCTGCCGCTTAGACCTAAGTAGTTCAATATTTAAATAGAATTCGTATTCCTAGCTATTCACTTATAATGAAAACACATCTCTTTCCCATTGATAGGATTTTGTGAAGCTGATGGATCGCGTGCTGCGCCAGCCAACGGATAAGACAGCAGAATCGACGCCCGATCCATTGGCCGGAGTCGTTGCCCAGCTGCTGGAGACGTACATCGACGAGGTGCCCAAGGTGCATAAGAAGCTGCTGCAGAGCATTCCCCAGCAATCGGCGCTGTTCCACAACAATTGCCAGTACCTGACGCATTGGGTGGCTCAGCACGCCAACAACGGCATCGATAGCTATCCCTCGCTGGTCAAGATGCTTCAGTCCACGGCCACCAAGCACTTGCGGGTTCAGCTCAACTATCAGCAGTCAATATTGATGGATATCATGAGCGGATTCGGTGGGTCTTCATATTCCTTCTCCTACACAGATTATGCAAGTGGGAAGAGGCAGTTAGAACATATATCTTATATAGAAATCCTATTCTGACCTCAGCGATCTCGGCAACTACAAAAGTGAGAGAATTGAAATTTTGGTGAGACGATTAGACAGAGACAAGAAATCTATCCATATCTATGCAGATACTCTAAGAGTGCCAAACGATTGCATAGAGTACAGGCTTGAGTCTGAGGACATTTGTAGTGCATGAATGCATTGGAGTGGGGGGCTGTAAAGAGAGTGAAGTTGGCAGAGGGCCCAAATGGGTGGCGCATGTGCCTAGAATGATTGCAATTGCAGCTCTGGATTGGGGTGAGGGTATTTGCTAGTCGGTGACACTCCCACTAATTAATGCCTCTTCTCGCACTTTGACAGAATTCGAAAATCCGCACACCCTGGGCTCGACGCCGTTGCGACTGGTGCGCCAGTGCCTGCGCCAGCTGGAGCTGCTGAAGAACGTGTGGCAGCAGGTGCTGCCGGAGAACGTCTACAACAGCAGCTTCTGCGAGCTGCTGAATGCGTTTGTCAACGAGCTGGTGCAGCGGGTGTTTACGCTGCGCGACATTTCGGCGACGATGGCTAGCGAGCTGAGCGACCTGATCGACGTGGTGCTGGAGAAGGGGCCGCTGCTGTTCCAGGATAAGCACGAGGTGCTGCAGGTGCGCAGCTGGCAGAAGCTGCAGCAGCTGAAGACCATGATGAACGCCTCGCTGAAGGAAATTACGGAACTGTGGTGCGATGGCGCCGGTCCGCTGACGGCCAATTACCAAGCGAATGAGATCAAGCACTTGATACGCGCCCTCTTCCAGGACACGGATCGGCGCGCCAAGGCCATCACGCAGATCGTCTAACGCCATTTGCAAATATATATACATTTCAAATTGCTTTACACTTAATTAAACTCTTTATTACCAAACCGTAGTCTATCTCTTAGCCGATCTGAGCTCCTCGCATTTCGTGTTTGGCCTGCAGCATGAGCGGGCGCAGCTGCTCCAGCAACAGTCGATGATCTCGTCCATGCGTTACGTTCAGGATGCGCTGCGCCTCGTGCAAGTGCTGCAAGGCTTGCTTGTAGTTGCGCTCGTATAGCTCGATCTTGCCCAGCTTCAGCTGGAGGAGACCCAGCAACGGGTTCCATGGCCCATGGTATTTAGCAAAGCCTGGCAGCAGCTGCCTTCCATAGTCCAATGCCTCTGTCCACTTGCCCACCTGGATGGATGCCTCGAAGGCGGCATCGAGCGTCTTCACGTGCCAAACGTTTAAGGGATGCAGGATGCCGCGATGCTTGGCCAGGCATACTTTGCAGACGTCCAGATCTGGAAGGGAACAGTGTGTGTATAGTATGACGAGTGTGTATAGCACATGGTCCGGCCGCTTCGCCCACTTACAGGCCACCTCCCTCATGGAGTCCAAGCTGGACTGCGTCAGTGCCATCACCTCGTTGTAGTCGGTGCGCAGCTGCTCCGTCACGGGCGTTCCGCAGCTTTCACACTTATCCAATTGTATATTGACGCTAGCGTCGCAGCTGCCATTCAGGCAAACGGCTGCGGTCATTTCGTGCATCTCCTGCGGATCGATGCACTTGCTGCACACGCAGAGGAAATAGTAATGCTCCTTTAGATCTGCCCGCCGCTGCTCGGGCGTGTTGAGCAGATCGATGTAGCTTATGTAGATCTTGGACCAATCCAGGCAAGGCAAGTCCTCAATGGCGTGCACGTGCAGCTCGGTGCCCTCGAAGGTGGCCACCGCATTCGGCTGGCAGCTGTGATCTGTTATGGAGACGCCCAGGTAAATGGCAGTCGCTATCGAGTTCATCTCTGCATCCAGGATGTTGAACCCGTTCGTGATGAGCTGCATGATGAATGAGACAGAAAATGATATCAAGATTAATTTACTAAACTAGACGTCACACTTCAAATCAGCCTCAGCATGAGATAGAGCGGGACGCACATATGGTTTAGAGCAGTGCAGCCATATGAGTAGCTGAGTGGCTTTTGCTGCTGCCTCTCGCTCACACTTACACGGCCATAAATGCTCATCAGTTCATTCATGTTGGGTACCAGACTTCCAGTTAGACTTCCCTTTTCGCTGTCCGTCATCATTTCCGTGAGCACAGCATGCAACGATTCCAAATGCTCAATGCGCTTCGGGTCATGCTTAATCTCCGTATAGTCTGCAAATCGAAAAATATTAAACGGAGTCTACATACATATCTACATATATGAAAATATGTATATGAATTGCCACTCACGTGACATTAGATCGCGAAATTTGCGAGACCCGTGCTTCGTGTAGTAGCCCCTTTCTAGATCGCCGCCATGTTCCAGCCGCAATATAAGCCGGCAGAGCATTCTCGCCGCGTCGGGCACAATGCGCGGCAGCGCGCGCTTAAGGAACAGGCACTCGTGCTTGTGGATGGGCCAAGCCTGTTGCTGGCAGCTGCGATTGCAGTAGGAGACATAACGGCAATTGGAGCACTTCAACACCTTTGTCCTGTGCAAGCAATATTATATTATATGGCATTATTTCACTCTGAAATTCCACTGCAACTCACGCTTCCAGACAATTATCGCAGCGTTCCAGTCGATATTTCGACTGGAGCACATACGCAAATGGCTTTTCAGTCAGAATTCGCGTGCCGCGTTTTATGACCAAATTCGACGAGGCCTCCATTGTGAACACACCTGTGGACCTGCCAGCAAGCAGCAGATCAAAAATATTGCATTTTGCTATATTCAAATTTGAAATGCTTTAGCGGCACCTATTTTCTATATTTAGCGCACGGCACAAACAAAACACAATTTACGCAAGCAGAACAGACAGTTCGCTATTAGTCGGCCCATCGATACCCTGCAGAGCGAGCAACATGTTATACGCTCCACGGAGTGCAGCTCTCTCTTCCGTCTGATATGCTCTGCCATCAAAGGTACTTAACACACCTAAATGCGACTTAAAATATACATATGTATGTATTTATATTAAAAATAAATATTTGACGTATACATATGTATGTATAACACATTTACATGCCAATCAGACCAACACGAAAATATTGTTTATGAGAGAGTGCGTGCTGGATTTCCGTTATTCATGTCCTCAGTCGCGCCACTCTCTGAGCGCGTTGCTCACATATTTGTGACGTCACATATGCTGCTTTTAGACTCTCTCCCTCTCTTTCTCGGCGAGCTGCGGCATAAATACGTTCTTTGGTAACACTGCTCGCAGCATTCGTGACGTCAAACCGGCGCATGTAAATAAACAACCTGCATAGCATAGAAAATATTCATTCAAAGAAATTTCTTTTTCAAGTTTGTTTATTTTTTTGTGTTTTTAGCAAACTTATAGCTTAGATACCATGTACTATTTATTTGTAACACATGCGGTATGCTTCAGGGTCTCTATAAGTGGTAGTTATTCAAAATAAAAAAAAGCAAATTACATTATTCTTCACGCTTCTGCTTGACTTTCCCGGCAGCCTTGCCTCTTCACACACATACACACGTCGCACACACGCACACTTCGACGCCTTGCCCTCTTTTAGTTGTTCTGTGGCTTTGACCACTCCACACTCAGGATCAAGTGATCGTAGCCGTGACCATTCAGGATCTCGATGGCCGCTGCCGCATCCTTGCGCTGTTTGAAGTGAACGTAGGCGAAACCTTTGCAGAGGCCGGTATTCTTATCGCGGGCCAGGTACATCTTGCTCTGTGGACCAATCTTCTTGACCAGCTCCTCGAGATCCGCTTCGGTCATGGACTCCGATAAGTTGGAAATGCGAATGGCGGCCGTATCGTCACGTCCACGCATACCCATACCGCCCTTTTGACTATCCTTGAGGAATGGTGGCACATACTTTCCAGATTTGGGGGCATCCACGGCTGCCGATGCAGCAGCTGCCGCCTTCTTCTCCATAAGATTGGTGTCCATGGCGGTGCCTTTGTAGGGACAGTTGACAGACCAATGCTCGCCATTGCAAATACGACATTTGGCAATGTTCTTGGTGGGATCGAGCAACGGATCGTTGGCCTTCTCATCCTCTTTGGAGTTGAGGAACTGCATTATAATCTCTTCAGAGACCATTGTGGTTTGCGAATTCGGGCCGGGCTTGTCGTTCTTCGAATCACCAAATTTGGTCCAGGTGCGGCGCTTAGCCACAGTTTTCGGCACGACCTGCTTGGATATTTTGTAAGTGCGCACCACTTTCGTTTTCTTATCGTCCTTATTGTATTTGTATTCGGTCACATATTTATGGCCATTCTCAATAGTTTCGGTTGTTGGTGGCAAGCCTCCATAGTCGAGCTCCACCTCATCGGCCCAACTGGATTTGATTGTTTCAACGCCCGGCATCTGTAAGTATTAACATTAATATATGTTTCTATGCCTTAGTCTGCGTCGTTCTGTGTCAATTAACCTTGTTTTGCTATGCAAATGGACAACGAAAATTTAATACAAAATTTCGCCACGAGTTTGCAGATTGCGTCCGCACCACGAAAAGAGCCAGTTAGGGATGCAAGTTGATTGTCGATGAGCATTTATCGCACAACAAGCAGACTTTAACAATTCATCGGCAAATCGCAGGAATGTGATCTCATCGCACTGGCTCCTCAATTGTTCAATTACGAATATATGATTATTTATGCGGCAAATGCAATAGTAATTGATTGTTGTAAAATAACATTATAATATAATAAACCAGTTCTGCGGCGCAGATACCGACAAATGTGAACTAAAGCAACGAATACATTAACATCGATAGACAGTTCATTTAAAATGAAGAAAGTTTGCGATATTAGACATCGATATGCGATGAGTAACATAATAATTAAATTCAGCAGGATGGCGCTAAATTTGAAATACAATTAACTTACGATATTCGCCGCCGAGCATGAGAGACATACACATATATTTTATAGTATAATCTTTATTGACAATAGAATTTAGAGCTCTTCAATGGAGTTACTCGTAGGTATAAAGCACAGTATACATATATATAGATATATATGTCTATATTTGTTTTAAGTTTATGAATGTAAGTATTGTATATAAATATATATTGTATATTTGTTTGTGTATCGTGTATGTGTGTATATATATATATAGATATATATATATGAATATTTATGCGTATTATTTTTAATTGCTTAGCTTAAAGCACAGGGAATTTTGATATGAGAATATGATTGAGCCACGCAATCAAGTAGTGGAGCGAAGGTGACAGAGTGAGGGAGAGAGAGAGAGAGACTGGATGGTTGACAAAAGAGGCTAAAATGGTATTGAAGAGTGAAAGTATACAATGACGCCTAAAAATTTTACTGATATCGATAAATCCTAATTAAAAAGAATAGTCCTCACTAGCTGCAGTATCTACTAAATAGGCGCTGAATTTAAAGAAATAAAATGACTAGAATGGGGTTGGAGCGAGGGATGGGATGTGGTCGGGACTATCTAATGAAAGACATCCATAAAGGGGAAATAAGCTTGCTCCGGCTCCAGTAGATCAACAAGGAAGCACACTGTGCCAGCGACTCCCTCGTAAAGGCTGTGCGGTCGATCAGGAACGCGCGCACGTTGCTTGAATTCCGCATTAGTTAAGAGTTCCATGAATTTGTGAGCACGGTACAGGTACTTCATTTCGTTGGTCAAGCGGAAGAGGAGAAGGAAGACGTAGCCATTGCCGGCTACGCCATGGCAAATGCCCGGTCCCTTGCGCAAAAATCCCTTCTTCCATACCAAATCCGCGGCGCGACGCAGTGATATAATATATTTGTCCTCTTTGAAGATTAGATAGGCTTTGGCTATCACGTAGACAGCGCCGGGTGCACCATGACACCAATGCACAAGACGCTTATCGCGGCCCGAACGCAAGTCCTCCATAGCAACTGGGAAGTTGCCTTCACCATCCTGCAGTTCCAGGAGGAAGTCAATCGAGCGCTTGATGTCCCGCAGCTCAGCGGCGGGCGCCGATATGGGAACCGTACGAAACCAGGGACTGTCCAAGAGCATGTGCAAAATAGAGCAAAGGCCATGAGCAGCGCCCAGATACTCTGTGCCATGGTATTGGTACATCAATGGTAACGGAGAGTTATTCAGTTTGCTATACTCCCGTCCGCTGTGGATGATCAGTTGGCAAATGGAGATGAGGTCATCATCTGTAATTTTCTTCTCTGGCAGCACGTCGTTGAGCCAGTAGCAGCCAGATAGATAGCCAGCGCGTCCAACTAGCATTTCGTCACAACCATATTTTGTATGCATGAACTCCTTGCTCGATGGGATGCCCGACTTAAAGTTGGCCAAGTCCATGGATAGTTCCTCGGTATTCTTAGTCTCCTGGGATATGGCAGCCGAGACGGCATAGATACCGGCGTTGCCACAGAGAAAGGAATATCGCTCGGCCGATCTCTTCTTGTAGCGTTGGGCATTCACTTTCGCATTGCGTATGAAGGCAGCTGCATGCTCCAAGGCCGGATAGAGATCACGGGTCTGCTCATTGCTATTCAGCTTCCAGAACATGTAGGCAATGCCAGCATTGCCCACATACAAGTCGCCGCGATTGTCCTCTTCGTCGCTATTGGGATGACAATGCTCTAATATGGCATCCACATAGGTGCATATCAATGTCTTTATGTGCTCCTCATCGGTGGCAAAGGGCGTATTTTCACCGCCCGCGAAATCAGCAAATGGATTCTTCAGATAACGCCGCTCCATTTCAAGACTCAAGCTATCGTCGGTCTCCACTTTGTCTTCAACTTTTCCCTTTTGCGCTATTTTCGTTTCAGCGGCTGCTGCTGCTGCTGCTGTCGCGGCTGCTGCAAACAATTAACGCACAAGAGCAGAGGAGAAGAAACGGAAAACATTTTTGTTATCGTAAATCGATTTACCGTTTGCCGGCTGCTGCGTACCTGACGCAGGGCGCGGCCCCCGCCGGCTGCCGGCGTTTGCCTTATCTAGGACTCTTACTTACCCGTTGTGCCTTTAGTTTTGCTTCTTTTCCAAACGGTTGTATTATAGCATCGACGGGAACGCACCTGAAACACGTTTATGCACTTAATAAAACACGGCTTAGCTATATAAGAATTATATACGTATATATATACAAATATATATTTTTTTAGATTTAATGTCGCGTATAAAATGATTTGTGTTTTGTTCAGTTTTTTTTGTTCAGTACAGTTTGCAAGTGCTCACAAGCATATGTATCCTATTTATAATAATAAAGTTTTGTCACACATTTGACACTGTTGTCAAAGCCAAGCAGTTTGTAAGCTCTTAAATCCTTAATTGTCTTTTGTACAGGTTTGTTATCGTATTATCCTGGTTTGTTATCGTATACATCGCTTAAGATGTCATTCATGCGATAGCTAATCGTTGCGCGATATAGTGGCGATATGTTATGCATCTACACATTTTCAAAAAGGTTAAACTACAATCATATATATTGCATAATACCGACGTTTATAAAGCAGTAAATAATGTGCAACAAATATTAAAATAACAACAAATAGTTATGCTATGTAGTGGCACTGGCATTAGCTTAATCGATATGCATTGCATAACATCGATTGAGACACTGCCGGTCCGGTCACTCACATCACTATTTATTTACCAATTTATAGAGATTCACATATGCAATTACTTTTTCTGGGCTTTATAGCCTGTAAGCTTTATTTATTTGTTAACATATATATCATTATTATATCACAACTGTATTTGCTTGAAATTATTTACGATGGTTAAGTCCCATGATGGTCGCAATGCGTATAAATATATTCAAAACATCCATATAGATAGACATTGAACTGAAATATAGCATCAAATGAGTTTTGAGAATCACAGGTAACTAAAGGATTTACACTTACGCATTAATGGGATCGAAGGGTGCATATGCGTACTCTGGATACACCTCAGCCCTGCGTACCAACAGCTGCGTATCGTAGAGCAGGAAGCCGCTGAAGAGAATTAGTCCGCCGTATAGCGACATCGAGGCCAAGCCTAGAAGAAAATCGAGCAGAAGAGTTAGCATAAGCTCTATATTATAGGATTTGACGAAACTCAATAACATACCAGCGCCTAGCATGGTCGTTGGGGGCAGCCACATTGATGCCAAGGATGAGGCGAAGACAACGCCTAAGCCAATGGCCAATGGACCACCCATATACAAGAACTTATCATTCGGTGCACAAGTTGCGATCGTCGACAAGCCACCGGCAATGCCGCCCGTGTAGAGAGCTGCGCGCGTTAGTATCGGTCCACCGAGGAAACACAATGGGGCTATCATAGCACCCAACAGAGCGCAATGCACGGCCCAGGCCAAGTGCTTTGGCCCCAACCCCTTTTCATACTGAATGGAGCGAGTGACAGCGCCACTGCCAATGACCAAAGCAAACGAAGCTAGTGTCCACTACGGTAAACATATACATACATATAGATATCTGTGTGTGTGTACGTGTGGGTGCGTGTACGGTGTTTAGACTTACCACAAAGCCACCGCGCGAGGCCAGTGAGAGCAGACGAGGCGAGCGGAAGACGGCAGCAGCAGAGGCGGCAGTCAACAAGCAGGAGCCCCCAAAGAAGGCGTATGTCGATTGTATGCGCTCCTTCACATATTGCGGCCACATTCTACACATCAAGAGAGAGAGAAAGAGAAATCGTAAATAAGATGAAACAATGGCATTGCTCTTTTATAAGAGAAGAAACGGAGCATTCGCATCATCGCATGTTATGCGCGCGGTAAAGAGAGAGTGAGAGAGAGTGATCGTCTTGGCTTATGATTTGTGAAGTACCATTGCTCACTGAGAGCACAATTGAATAAGAGAATATATCAAGGATGGTCTGGAGGTGGGTGGCTTTTGTTCCAGATTGTGCTTTAAATGATGCAGAGGAGGTCTAGATCTTTCTCTCGCTCTCTCTGTTTTTCCACTGTACTATATACTGTAACAGGCAATAATTGGTCAATGCCTATACTAGGTACATATATGTATGCCTATGTATATCTGCATGTATTTTAAGGAATTCCTACTCACATGGCGTTGTCCGCAATGCTTGTGTGCTTGCCCATGCCGATGCCGTAATAGCAAAGGGCGCCTAGGCCGACGGCAGCGGCTCCGGCAGCTGCTCCCTTGCCCAATGAAAAAGCTGGAAGAACACACGCAGTTTAGTTACGGCTACAATTGGAAGGCAAGCACTTACCATTCTCACTTGGTGGGCCCATTAGCTTCTCTTTGAGCGTGGGTTGACTGCGTACTGGAGCCCGCTCCACAATTACGGGATTGCGTGGGGGGCGCACTGGACCACGGGCATAGTTGCGAAATAGACTTGGGTTAAGTTTCGAGGATTTGGCCAGCAATTGGCAGCTCAATGGAGCCTTCGACAATGCAAGTCGCATTAACATTTTCTTGGTGTGATGAAATTATCAGTCGATTGTTAAAATTGAATTCGCTTGTGCCAAAAATAAATTTACACACGATTTAGCTGTTTTTCGATGAAACAAATTTAGTTAGCGAGCGTAACTGACGTAAAACTTCTATGTATTTTGAAATATTTCTAGAATTTCCTACTTACGAACAATTGTCACTTCGATAATTTACAATGTTGATTGTCGCTATCGATATAAGCACGATGATCAGCTGTGCGTTACAATATATATCGTTTAAAATATATACTCTGGTTGGCAATGCGAAATTATGAATTTAAATATTTTAATTGTCGTAAACATTAAATATATATATTTAGTACGTCTTTAGTTTTTTTTTTAAATTTGTATTTTATCTGCTTTTTAGTGGGCAACATGTTTTCAATTTTCCTTGCAACTATGGATATTTTAATCGTTGGCGGAAAATTATAACAGCACCGTCTTAGAATAAATGCCGCCATTGCAGTTGAATTCAAATTTCATTTAATGCAATTTCGTTATGCTCAAGATATACATATATTTGGAACACTTAACAATACAATGCGACACAGATAATTTTTAACGACTAACTACGGCCTAATTGATCACACTACAAATTCACACTATAAACATTCATATGCATATACACATATGTAGATATGTATGTATATATTTAGATATATAGCGCTTGCTCATACTGAATATTTTCGAACAGTTGGCTGCACGGTTGGTCTCTCTGGAAAATTGGGTGCTAGACGATCCTTGTTGATGATAATCAGCTCGGTCAGATGCGATTTGCGCAAATTGCCAAGATGATCATACGTATTCGTTTGCTCCAGCTCCCCCTCGGGATTCGACGTGAACGTTTTGCATTCGTATAGGGGACAACATTTCGGATAGACCAAATCGGTTTCCGTGGGCGGCAGCACATGACAGTCCCCCTTCAAGCCAACCGGCACTTTACAGCTGTAACGGTTAATAAAGAATGACAGTGAAAATGATGTATAGAATATCAGTGCATGTCATTGGTCAGCCAATCTACACTCTCTCTGTCTCTGTCTCTGTCTCTATCGCTCACTTACGTATCCTCCCATACGCGAAGTGTGCCCAGACATTGCACTCGCACACATTGCCCCGGCCGTGTAAACACTTCTCCCACATACAGCTGCCTGGCTGTCAGCGTATCCCGGCAGTACTGCTGACTGTAACGGTAGCTAGCTGCCAAATGCACCAAAATGGAATGAGTGAAGAGCACAGCTATATAGACAGATGATGCGTCCATACTTACATGGATACTGCGGCATTGCCCGGCTGCCGGCTACGAAGATGAATCCTATTAACAACAATTTAGCAGATTCCATTTTTTTATTTCGATTATTTTTGTTTGCCTGATTCGATTCGACGTTTGCAAAGTTTAGTGCGCAACTGATTCCAAGCGAATGTATTTAATCTATATCAACGGTTCCTCTTCATGGGCTCTCTCTATCTTTATATGTATCTATGTGTGTGTGTGTGTGTGTGTGTGTGTAATCACATTTACTCAGAGCATTTACGCGCTTTCTCTACTGGGAATTTAACAATATTTTGTATGTATATGAAATGTGTTGATGCTTTTCTATATGGCATGCTTATCGCTCGGTCCGCAGCGCAGAAAAGATCGAAACTCAAATGTTGGTGGCATGACCGGGCGCTACCCTGTAGAGCACCACAAAGATATGGCGTCAACGAGTTGGGAGTGTGAAGCGATTGCACAAGATGATCGGAGCTCTCTGCATTTCCCGAATGAGTCTCTGAATGAATCTCTCTCTGCTTTTCCCAATGAGTCCCTCATTATCTCTGTCGGCTCTGCTCTGTGAGGCTTTCTCTGACTTTCTCTCTATCCCTCTCTCTCTCTCTATCCCTGTGTATGTATGTCATTCTGTCTATTTGCGTGTCCGTTTGTCTATCTCTTTCCCTTAATCTTAACTTTTTCATTCTTTGCCTTTGTGTCTGTCTCCCTTCTTCTATCTCTATTGGTCTCTCCGATTCTCCCTTGCTCTATACTCTATGAATCTCTCTGATTCTATGCTTTTCAGTCCCTCTCTCTCTCTCTTTGTCTGTCTCTCTCATGCCATAGCGCCTGCTTGGACCAATGCTGTCTGTAGTCGATATACCTCTCATGTTTTTCCATGGATAATGGCAAAGCGATTGATGTTTACGAGAACGTACCTATATATGCACGTACTCACATACATAGAATACACATATACATGGGCAAACGAGTGCGTATGTGTGTGTGATGTTAAATGCTAAGACATTGTTTATAAATAATTTGTTTCACTTTGTAGACTGCCCCTGACCGCTACCAAGCGAGCTGTGTGGGGCACTGGGCCACATCAGATGAATCATGCTTGCATGCCAAGTGAGAGAGAGAGAGGGAGGGAGAGGGAGGTAGATACACGCTGAAGAAAATAGAGAAAGAGTGAGAGAGAGAGAGGGTGAGAGATGATACGAATTGTATCCTATTTAAGACTCTTCCTCAATCATCTCGTCTCGATCCTTTCAATCAGAGCTTTAAGTTTTCTAGACTGAGTGCAGGAGTACTGAGTACTGCTTGATTGATGGGAGCTACTTTTGGTTTAGGCTGCTTGAGTGATGTATATTGATTGATCAGCTTATATGGCTCGATGATTGACTGCAATGGAAATAGAATCATTAAAATGAAAATTAGTTCAAGTATTTTGCTTCCATTCACTATTCGAGTGAGTCCCCCATTTCGAGCACAATTGACAATTTGAACCTTTCACACAAACCCATTCGGCGATTAGCTGTTGCCGCTGCTGTTGCTCAATCTAATCAATTGCCCAGACAGATAACCTTTGACACGGCAAAGCGAGAGAAAAGAGCGCTTGAAATTTCCGCCACGCTTGCAATTTCCTGCACAAATCAAATCACGTTATAAAAAAGTGTGTGCATTCCTAGCCAAAAGGTTTTCGAACGGAAACGGAAATGGAAATTGTCAAGCGCAAATTCCTAATAGCCCTATCAAATGCTGCGACGCTTGATTGACGCATCAGCCAGCTGAATGTTGCTTACTTTTCAGCGCCTTCCCCAATTCGCTCTGATTTTATTCATTGTATACTTTCGCTGCAAATGCTCAGAGCTTCTAGAAGAGGGATTACCAACTTATAGATACCCTAATCAGCTTTTGTAGATGTGCACACAAAACGTGTACTTCAAGTCAATCCGCATTGATTGATCAACCAATATATATATATATAGCATATATTAAAATTCTTATTCCTCTTGACTTCAGTAATATCATCAGTAATATTAGAGTCATATAAGAGGCATTCATCAATTATATATATGTATATATATATATATAAGAAACACTTATCACACATCAGTCATCTATCAATCATACATCAGTAATATTTTAGTCATACAACACCCATACATCAATCATGTAACTGTTACTCCTCTGTCATACATCATGCGTACATCAATCATACGCCTGTCATACATCAGTAGTACACAAGCCATGCATCAATCAAATAACAGTCCTTCTACAGTCGTACATAATTCGTATGTCAATCATATATCAATCACATACCAGTCATACATCAATCATGTATCTGGCATGCTTCAATCCTACATTACCCATACATCAGTCAGACTTAAGTCACCATCAATCTAGCATGAGAGACTGATTGATCAGTCTTTGACTGATGGGCTTAACATATGCCATAAGAGAAAAGATTTGTACCCATCATCGGCTGAATGACTGTTGATTGATTGAAACTGATTGTCTGAGTGACTGACCAACAGATTGAGGAGCTAACTCTCGACAAATCAAGTTTATAGCTCACTAATGATTGATATACTGATCGATAGACGGGCAACGGCGAGAAGAATAGATCGATAGCACTGGCTGTTAATGCCCAAGTACATGAGTTTCTTCGCAGCACTTGCAATAGACTGCCAATAATTAGCCGAGAATGTCAAATCACTTGCCATTAATTGATGCAGACAGCGAATAGTCCAACTAATCGTTGCTTCAGCTCGCCTTTTGGTTTCCACACGAACTGTGCGAGCTGTATAAATTGTCGCTGAAAAGCTGATCGAGAAAGAGGTGTAAAGCGAAATTTGGGAATTGCTTTGCATGAAACCCAACTCTCTCCCTCTCTCTATATCTCGCGCGCTCACGCTCTTGCTCTCTCCTCTCTGGATGAGGTTGGCGTTGATCGTTGTTTGCTGTTTGTTGATCGTTGAGCGTCTTTGGCTTGGGGTTGTTTTTGTTTTTTTTTTTTTTTTTTTTTTTTTTTTTTT